GATGAAACTCCAGTAACTGCATCTGTAATGCTGCCAAACTTGCTTTTTTTAGGACCTGATACGCCACTATAGCCTACGCTTGAAAATAAAATGTGGTGTTTTGAATGAACTTCTGATAATAAAACTTCGATTTCTGCATCTGAGAATTTTTTTTTTTTCATTCGTTTTTAAGAAGACATGTTGAAATCCTTCGTTTGGTGTCATAATATGATCCCCATATATAGTTGTCAGTCGGATTTAATAGGCGGGATTTATGGTAATTGAGAATGAGCGTGCACGCGCGTCCCATTTACCACTGATTGGAATTCATTCACACACACACACATTTCACTATCACATCTGAATCAGGAGATGAGTTTTCGGGAAGGTCTCTTTACGCGCAAATCACTCTCATATTTACTTGTATATTTACGAATGTTTCATGAATGAGACCCAATGAGTCTATATAATATATTAGTTTCACCTTATAAGTTGAATTGAATTACTGAAATAAATGAACTTTTGCATGATATTCTAATTTTTCGAGTTTCACCTGTATTATAAAAATTGTATGTTGGTGAGGTTGAAGCTGCTTAAGTCTTCTTACTACAAGTCATCTTACAACTAAGATGCGCATAAAAAAAATCATGTATGCTTCGCTCGTTTGAGTCGGACACATTTATCTGGGGGAAAAAAACATGCGCAATAAACTACGATGGAAACACATTTACCGAATAAATTCCTCATTGTGACTTAACTGGACTAACCAGCGGATCGATCTCAATGCACAGCCTCTGAAGTGTGTGTCTCAAAGTGGTATAATTACCTTCCAGAAGTGTCTTAGTCCCAAACAACAGGCTCTGAGATGCAACTCATTTATTATACAAGTACAAAAATGTGTTGTCATTGAATCATTCATTTAAGAGATCCTCGTCAAGCATGGATACATTTAAAAAGACTTATTTATTTGATCAAGGTCTGAGAACTGTGAGTGATTTGTTGTTTGATTTTCTTAGTGACATGTTTTAATGTTATTTTATGCTTCTATGTATTTTAGAGTTATTTACTACTTATGGACGTCACTTTGGTCCATTTTAATGGTTTTGAAAGTGCTTTATAAATAAAAATTGAGTTTTAAAACACTGATTAATCAAGTGATGAAACCAGTTTAGCATTTTAGAGTGAGTCATTGAATCATTCATTCAACCCGATTTTATCAAATAATTCATTCAGATTAATTACACATTTTAAATAGACTGGAGCAATTATTTAAAATGTAAATTACCACATTTTTGTTTAGTTGTGTGTTCAGAATCATGGGAGAATCTCTGTTTGAAACACAGAAATCGTGAATCTCAGTTTATCCAGAATCGTGTAGTCCAACACACCTTTTACTGTCCCATGAGGCCACGGGAGAGGATTTATGAACGGCAGTGACACAACTGACGCTGGTAGGTCACATGACAGTAACAACATGATGAATGTAGTATGTCCACATGTCATTCATACAACCCACATTCTTACTATAGAGCACACAAGTAAATTAAATGTAAATGTAGTACCTACTCATGGACACAGCATATGCAAAAAAAATGTAAAGTTTACAAGTAAACAATCACTTTGCTACACAATGTGTCAGAGTTGCCACAAGGGGCGCTGTAGAGTAAACTGTCTTTAACAACTAACGTATTTTTAACCAGCTATAAATGAATAACAACAATCCGGTGTAGTGACAGAAATGTAAAGGCGAATCTATCCAGTAGTAAGACAACGTTACGAAGACACATCACTCAGTAGAATAATTCACATAATGGGTCGTCAGTGAGAGAGAGAACTCTGATTGGCTGTTCAGCTCAGCGAACAAGACTGTGCAGGAGAATAAAAGCGAAAGTGATGAAAGAGAGCAAAGAAGTCAAGTAATAATTGTAGGTCATCTTACCTGAGCATTTGAATGCACTAATATTATCCTAATAACATGAGCCGACTGGAATGAAGAAAGTGATCAGCATCATTGATATTCAAAGGTTTCCGGTTTGTATATCTGCAGCCTTAGTTTCGCTTTCTCTTCTTGAATGACGAGTATAGACTATTGATGCCTGCTGATATAGACAGATATGAACTTCCACCCAGACTCAGGACGCATGTGCTTGTTGACAGTGCTTTTGGTGCGCTCAAGTCCGCCAACACAGTCAGCTTTCATCGCCGCTAGTTCTTTGACGTCGGCTCGGTGTTTGCCGGCTCAAGATATGACTCCAGTGAAAGTCAGTGGGATTAGTTTTATCACCTGCCAGATATTAATCATTAGTCGAAACACATCTCTCTCAAACAAGCTGCGACAGATCTGAGCAACGATAATTGCACCCGGATAAAACGTCAGTTCAAAAATATGAAATATATTTTCAAACGTATAAAATGAGGTAGAAGTTGTGTGGCAGTGGCATCCACCCGTGTGTGTGTGTGTGTGTGTGTGTGTGGTCTGTGATTAGCGTCTCCCCGTCTGACAGGCACCAGCTGAGCCGCGTTTGTTTACATCCGGTCCGCGACCCCATTGAAGTGTTGACCACTAGCGAAGCCTCGTCCCGCCGCAAACCTCACGACACACAAGCTAAGCTAACACGCGGAAAACACACACACACGTCGTCGGTCGGTCGGTCGGTCGGGGAGAAGCACTTACCCAGCTTGAGCTCGAGGGGATGGAAGGAAAAAGAAAGCAGAGAAGAACACGTGAGAATAACACGCCTCATGTGTGGCTGAAGGCGTCCCGTCCGCTCTCTGTGTTTGAGTCGTGACCCCTGCGCTGAACCCCAGCACAAGCTGCCGGTCCCGGGAGAGAGAGGGGGGCGAGGGGGACCGCGGATACGTGCTTTACCTCTCCGGTCACAGCAAACACACAGCCTGAGGCCGAAGCAAACAACACGAGCGGAGGACGGACTGACGGAGTGTTTCTGCGGGCTTTTTCAAAGGAGAAAGACCTTTGTTTTTTGACATTCCCCATAAAGGTTTATAGAGCAACGATAAAAAACATTTTAAAAAGTCTGCACACCAAGGCTCGAAAAATGCACAAATGTAACAATGGCTCTCGTACAGCTGATGTTGAGCAACAAGCCTTCACACTGACAGCCTCAACGATCACATCACCTATTCAACATCATAAAGCCATGGAACAAAAGGCACAAGAAAAATACTAAAAATGAAAGATGGAAGATTATAAGATAATGATACCTGTATGAACAACAACAACAAAATTAAGAAACGGACGAATATCCAAATCTTTATTTAATCCCTTAAGTGCTACAATATCTAATGTGTAAATTCAAAAGGTTTTGTGGATGCCGTGGATATCTATCTATCTATCTATCTATCTATCTATCTATCTATCTATCTATCTATCTATCTATCTATCTATCTATCTATCTATCTATCTATCTATCTATCTATCTATAAATCTATCTATCTATCTATCTATCTATAAATCTATCTATCTATAAATCTATCTATCAATAAATCTGTCTGTCTGTCTATCTATCTATCTATCTATCTATCTATCTATCTATAAATCTATCTATCTATCTATAAATCTATCTATCTATCTATCTATCTATCTATCTATCTATCTATCTATCTATCTATCTATCTATCTATCTATCTATCTATAAATCTATCTATCTATCTATCTATCTATCTATAAATCTATCTATCTATCTATCTATCTATCTATCTATCTATCTATCTATCTATCTATCTATCTATAAATCTATCTATCTATCTATCTATAAATCTATCTATCTATCTATCTATCTATCTATCTATCTATCTATCTATCTATCTATCTATCTATCTATAAATCTATCTATCTATCTATCTATCTATCTATCTATCTATCTATCTATCTATCTATCTATCTATATACTTTTTTGCTTCAAATTAAAAGCTGCAATGTTTCTCATATTGCTGTTTGATTTGATTTATGGCTCATCCTACAACTCCACGACTTGAAATCTGAAAACTGTTTTAAAAAAAACAGTCTGTGTCTCTCACCCACAATGCCCGGCTCTAAGAGAAGGTTTGGTTGGTGACATTTGCTAAATTAAAGGCATCTTTAACACGTCTGAGGTGTAAGACTGAGGTTTAAACCGGCTGTTCTAGGACACAACACGTATAATAATGAAAACAGCAAATGACTCTTGCTCTATTATAACCGTACACCAGACTATTAACAGGTGACTTGTGCATCTGATTTATATATTTAGCTCTAGCCATAGAATTAAGGGTTTAGTTTAATCAGGAGTGTCTACTACGACAAATATATAACTATCATTATTGCTCAAACTCAAGGTTAGTGATTTGAACAAAGACTACAGACGTGAATCAAGCAATCAGACTTACAATTACCTAGATCATTAATATCAGCAAGCCTGCCACAATTATTGACTATCTAATCGTTGTAATTTGATATAACCGCAATTATTTTATAGAACTGCAATAATTTAAATTTAATTGCCAAAGAATACACTGTAAAAAACACTGTTGTAATGTACACAAAAATAGTCAAATGAATATATTATTTTATGTTATATTATACTATGTTATATTATAATATATTATATTATATCAAATTTCACAGAAAAAAAAACGTATTAGGCTTGAACAAAACAGAATTATATCATTAATTGCGATTATTTCTTTGTATGACAATTAGCATTCAGCACAAAATTCATAATTGTGACAGGCCTAAAATATCATATCTAAAAATGGAATTAAGAGAACATTCATTCTCTCTAAATGAACAAATAATTAGTTTAAGATGAATGAACTGCACAATAAACCCAAAACAGCTGAGGACAGATCAATCCCAGAAAAATCAAATCACATAATGAGTTTCTGAACTGAACAAGCGGTCAACTTTAAACACACACTTTCCTGCACTTATGTCAAGAACATGAGAGCATTAAATTCCTCCTCGTGAATCCGTATTATTACAATGGAAACGACGGGTCATGTTGTGGCCGACACACACTTACCGTAATGAGTCAGGACGTCCCGAGGCTGAACGACTGTGTTGCAGACATGGCAAATGACGGGTTTGAAATCCTCATGGGTTGAGACGTGATCATACACGATCATACCTACAGCCCAGAGAGAGAGAGAGAGAGAGAGAGAGAGGCAATACTGAATATCACATCTGCTGTTGTTTATTAAAAGTTTGACTGAAAAAATAGATTTTTTTCCCCTTTACTAGTGTATTTGAAATGGTCATGTGGTGTAACAAACAAACATGATCATCTTTTTCTTTTAAAGCGAACATGAAAAGTGCTGCTCACCGCAGCTTAGTGCCAATCACTCTCTTAAATTAACGGAATAATAATTTTACAGCCGTAAGCGATATGAAATTATTTTGGGAGCATGTGAATTTTTTCCACATCTGACCCACTAAATTATAACCAAGGTTGCCAATGAGGATCAGAGCTGATATAATACCATTTATAACTCACCTAAAATGACAGTTTGAGATCATAAGTTAAAGGTGTCCATTTATGCTTTTTTTTTTACATTTTCATCTCTCTTTAGTGTGTAATGTTGCTGTTTGAGCATGAAAAAGAGAGTTATTCTCTATATCAGTGTCAGTGTTTCTGAACTCCATTGTAGTCTCGAGTTTCTCCGGGGAACGAACACGTCACAATATTCATCATTTAAATAATTAATGCGCAGAATAAAGGGGCGTGGCCTGGTTGAGTTAGTTAGTAGTTCACATTTAAATTTACTTTAAACCACAGTTATGTGGCTCAGCTTGCGTTTTAAAGTGGGACGGACTAGTGACCAGTTGGATATCATGTGTAGTGCTGTATTCAGTCAAGCTCATGATCAGTGGAGAACCGTGACGCAAGTGTTCAGAGCGGCGCGTCATGTTCGCTGAACTTTCTTTCTTCATCCATGCAGACTCATTACGCGCTTACTTTAGTACACACTTTTTCTAAAAATGAGAAAAACATCTGATGACGAGGGCGGGGCTCAACCTGTCACTCACATGAGATCAGCCAATAGCAAACCACAACCATCCAATCAATTCCCCACAGAGAAAATCAAGCCCCGCCCACATTTGTTCTTGTTTGAGAAGCGTTTCACTCGGATATACGGCATAATAGGGAAGAAAAGACTAGCGCAACTTCTGTTTCATGTCGGCTTTAAATGGTAGATTATGGTTAAGTTACTAGTGTGTTACTGAATAGTGTGAATAGTACTGAATATAATGCATCACTATCTCTTCCTAAATATCTGAATGTAGATCTGTTCAGCTACTATGTGTTTGCTTATGGCTTTTTTTTAAAGTGTTACTCAAAACTATATCAAAACATCCAGTGCTTCTGTACCAAATTGGTGCTAAAATTAAAAAATAATAGTAGTAAAAAATGTGTTGTTATTCTTTTTATTTTAGCACAGAAGTGCTGGCTATTTTACCTTCAAATAAAATAAAAACTATTATATTGGTCTGTTGTTAATTATTAAAATACAATTGAAATAAAATATGAAATATAAATAAAGTGCTCTTTAAGTTAAGCAGTTAAAAAAGCTTTCTTCAATAAAACATACTTGAAGTTGTTTTAATATTTCACTGATAGCATGAAATAATAATACATTTGTGTTAGCAAGCTGTATCAACTGATGACATTTTGGTACTGTACATTATTGAAAAGTTATTGTAGGTGCAAACAGCGAGAATGCAACAATAACATGATGACACAAGAAGAAATCAACATGACAGACAGACACACACACACACACTCACCTGCTTTACTGAGTTTGATCACCTCTGCGCCCTCCAAGAGTAAAGATCTGAAAATATAAAAATAAATCAACAAAATCAATATCGCTGCATGCATGCATTAGACTGATACTGTAACCAAACAGTTACCTAACATGCACAGTTACAAATACTGGTAGCTAGATGGCTGTCATGATCCAGTAATGCAACACACACACGCGGACGCACGCACACACACACACACACACGCACGCACGCAGAGAGAGAGAGTGTCTAAACTTATACACACTCCGTCTCAAGAGCCACTAACATCCATGCATTCGCGTGTAAAGTACAGAAGTGCCTGACACCTGTCAATCACTCATGACAGATATGAGCATATGAATGCATGCGTGTTTACAGCGTGTTGTTTATGCAGCGGCGCAGATGCACGAGAGGACACGCGCGAGCGCGCACGCACGATCTCCCGTTCTCGACCCCGACATCAACAAGCGTCGTACTGCAGTTGAACGAGTGTGTGAGGGCAGTAATGTGACTTACAGTGTGTGTTGTGGCTCCTGTGTGCAGTGTGAGCGCGCGGCGGTACAGCGTCGCCATTGCTCTTCCTTCTTCCTTCACAGACTGAGAGACGAGCGAGCGAGAGAAACATGTGACGTCACCTTCGTCAGCGCTCGGCCAGTGTTCGGGTGCGTTCGGCTCGGAAAGGTGAAAGGTTGAACGTGTACCGTACATCAAAACATGTATCCTCCTGGGACCCAGGAATAGACTCTTGTCTACTGTAGTGCACATTATATTTGAGGGAATTTCTCTGACACTATACAAGTCACATGTCACAATCTGGGTGTCCTGTAAAGAGCACATTCAGGGCTTTTCAGAGATACCAAATGTTTGGAGGTTTCACCATGAAAACAACTTCTCCTTGGTCTTTAAAAATGTCTGACAATAATTTAAATCAGACTACTTTTCAAGTTGTATTTCATAAACCAACATCTCAGGAAAAGTTATGGGGTGTCAAATCCAAAATATGACTTTCTGTTGATTTCCTTTCATCTAGCACTAATGTCCACTGTAGAAGATATCAGTGCTTAAATCATGTTTATCAGGCATTTTGGGAGACACAACAAGTGAATATGGAAATACTTTAATATTCCTATGAAAAATTAGATATTATAGAAATGTTGCCAATTATTATTCCAATTATCACACTTTTTTTTCATTAAATGATGCTCCAAGAACACATTAATATGAAAATTAGATACATTTCATTAAATGGGAATATAAATTTATGGCCATTTTACCCACATATTGCATAGAGTAAAATGGTGAATCAATTCATTCCGTTATATATTTTATAACATAGTTGAGAATAATTTTTATACAAATTTTGGAACCCAAATATTGATTGGTGAATGAAAAAAAAAATTCCCATTCTTTTTGCCTACACATATAATTTCATGTCATTAATTTTTTGTTTTAAACAACTGAGTCCTGGTGTCCACTACAGAGAACATAGCATAACATATGAATAAAATATCATTTTTCAAAAAAAATTGTTTTACCATTTGTTTCTTTTGCTCTAAACAATGTGATGACATGAAAAAAAAAAATTCTAAATACTTTTTTTCTGGGTCTCAGGAGGATAGAGTACACTACAGTTATTGTTATTTTTCTTATTTTAAGTACTGTACTAAATCTGCCCATCCTGTAGTAAATGCACAACCACAGCACAAAACAAAAACGCATCTCACTGAGATATGAATAGCCTATGTGAGACAAATAAGCCAAACTCGGGCAGTCAGGAGGAGAACACCTGTAGGACATTACAATCTCTTTTGACACTCGAAAACATCCAGACTCTGACCTTACGACTGTGAACGACCATATTGAGGCATTCGCTCCGGATAATGTTTTGCTTGTTCTTTTCACAAATTGTGATCAGAGAAGTCACAGGATGAGCAAGCAAACAAAAGCGCTATTATACCAGAAGCAAACCCAGATTTATTTGGGTAAGAAATCACCCTTTCTCCCCAGAAGCACAAAACATGAGCTATCAGGCCTGCTTAGATCGCGATTCAAACACTACCAAGTGCACTTCACAGTCAATTTTATTCATCAACATAAGGAAAAAGAAACAAAAGCATGAATGAGAATGGAAGTAAAACAAAGAAAAGCCTTTAGGAAGGAACTCCAGCACCATTAGAAATGCTTAATACTGCATAAAATGCATAGATAACAATATAAAGGCAAAAACTACCATTTTCAAATGCAAAAATACACAGGAATGACGCTGTGTAAACGCCTGTTCACACCAAGGACCGATGATGATAAAGATACAATTATGCAACTGGTGTGAACGGGCCTTTACACTTGAACATATATGCAAAGGTTGAAGGAACAGCGAAACATCGTAAAAGTAAAATGTCATAGTGCATTAAAGACATTGCGTTTCCATTAAAAGTTCAAAAAAGCATCCAGACCGAATCTTACCATATATAAAGGTAAAACAAAGGATAAAAACGACATGTTATTCAAGTACACAAGAAATCAAAAGGTCAAAGATATAAAACATAAAAGGAGAAGAGAGAAAAATCACATGAATACAATATGCAATTTAACATGACACGTTCTTACAAATTGCAAGCATAAACTGTTGTATTTTTCGGTAACACTTTATTTTAATGCGTTACATGTATTTACTATAGTAATAACTATAAAGTATGCATAATTACAAACCAAACCTTAACCCTATAGTAGTTAATTAATATCACTCAGTAGTTAAATGTATAATTACACTGTAACAGGGACACATTAAAATAAAGGCTTACACTTTATTTTAAGGTGTCATGTTACAATACAATGTAATTAGTACTGAGTAATATTAATTAACTACATGTACTTGCTATAGGGTTAGGATTTGGTTGAGGGTTAGTTGCATGTAATTATGCCTAATTTACTGTTATTACTACGGTAAGTGCATGTAACATAAGTAACAAGGACACTGTAAAATAAAGTGTTACCAAATAAAATGTAACCGTAAGGCTAAAGTAAGTGTCATTATGTTGTGTGTGTGTTTAGATGTGCGCTGTAGCCGGACCCCGTCCCGCAGCTGGCTGAGCGTTGACCTTCTGAGAGTGCCAGCGCGTCTCCTTATACACAAACCAGGCGTTCCCAACCCATATGAGAAGATTCAAGTAACCAAACACCTGGAGATGAAGTCTGCAGTTAGTCATTTACAACATGCATACTTGCTTAAATGCATGCTGATCGTGCCAAAAATTAACTGCAATCAATCCCAATCAATACATTAATATTCTGGCATATGCAGCATTAAGGAAGTTAAATGCATTGAAAATGCTGTTTAATATTCATATTTATTGATTATTATTAATAATTTAATAACAATATTAACAATAATAAAACAATCAAATTGGATTATTATTAATATTTAATATGATTATAGCAAATATTTGTAATGAGAGGTGGATATACACTTTTCACAGGCTGTGATGACGCATTTCCACAGTTATTAACATCGATTTTTTTAAAATTAATGTACATTTATAACACTATTCTTACTTTGCCTTTAAATTACATAAAACAGAGGGAGTGACAGATAATTTGACATCTTTCTCTCTTTTGATGAATGTAATTTCCCCCTTTTTTGGAAACTCATAGAAATGCTATAGTGGATTTTAATGTTTAATTTTAATGTCTAATGTTGTTTTTTGTTTTTTCTTTTACTATTAGGGCAAACAGCAATGCAAAAATAATATTAGTTGGTAATGATATATAGGTTTAACCAACATTGCATCTTAAAGTCACCATGAAATCAAAACTGACCATTCTAGATTAAAATTTTTATGGAATATTGCAACATTTATTATAAATTATATATCCAGGCACATCATTTTTATTTTTTTATTCATGTTCCTCGTAATCTTGAATCAGAATATCTTCCCCTCCCTCTTGCAGTGACATCATCTCTTCTCTGATGACGAGGGCGGGGCTTGACCTGTCACTCACATGAGATCAGCCAATAGCAAACCACAACCATCCAATCAATTCCCCACAGACACAATCAAGCCCCGCCCACATTTGGTTCTAAATTCTAGCCGATGTTTTGTGAAAGTGGGTGTGGTTTTAAAACCTAAGACGTATTGCTGATTGTTCAGTGTCTTACCACAGATATATTGAGCAAGCGCATGCTGGCAAACTCAGTGACTTCACATCTGACACCTGCGTCCCTGCAGAGCGCCAGAGTCGAGTCCATGCCAGCCGTCCCGGTGGCGTCCTTCACCGTCTGCAAGCCTCGAGCCCACGCCGACGAGCACACCAGCCACAGGAACGCAAAGGCCGAAGTTAACACAAAATCCTAGCAGACAAACACAAGGAAACATTATCTAAAAATATCCCTGGGATATAAAAAATATGGTAACACTTTACAATAAGGTTCATTAGTTAAAGCTGCAGTCCGTAGTTTTTCCTTTTTGTCGCCATCTCTGTTTGAAATCTCCAATTGCAGTTATTCGAGGAATTATCAGCTTTACGTGGGTTGTGGATTCCTGGTTTTAATCCTATCTCACCAACAGGCAACAATACACCACCCTTAAGGGCATTTGCTCTGAATCTGCGCCAGTCTTACACGGTGTGCCACAAGGATCGGTGCTTGGCCCACTGCTGTTTAATATCTACATGCTACCTCTTGGGATGATCATCCGGAAACATGGATTACACTTCCACTGCTACGCTGACGACACCCAGCTCTACATCAGTACTAAGCCTTCTACTCCACTTCCACCAGTGCCACTTATCAACTGCCTGAAGGACATAAAGAACTGGCTGGACAGCAACTTTCTAAAACTCAACAAAGACAAAACAGAACTTATGGTGTTTGCCCCGCTGTCACTTCTTAAAAATGTTGATTTATACTGGATGTGGATGGCTGCTCAATCTCTGCATCTCCTCAAGTACGCAACCTTGGCGTCATCATGGACTCCACTCTCTCCTTCCAACAACACATCAAAAACACCATTAAAACTGCATTTTACCATCTTAAGAACATATCCAGACTTCGACAGTGTCTCTCCAACTCTGTAGCCGAGACCCTGATTCACTCCTTCATCACCTCCAGACTTGATTACTGTAACGGTATTCTGTTCGTTCTGCCTAGCAAGGCTACTGACAGACTCCAGTATGTACAGAACTCTGCGGCTAGGATGCTCACTCACACAAAGCTTGGACTTCACATCACTCCCATCCTGAAGAAGCTTCACTGGTTGCCAGTTAAGTCTCGGATCAAATATAAAATCCTCCTCCTGACGTACAAATCTCTGCATGGACTTGCACCTCAGTACCTTATTGATTTACTCCATCCCTACACTCAGCAACGGTCCCTGCGGTCCTCTGACAAGGACCTGCTCGCTGTCCCTAAGTCCAGGCTCCGGACATTTGGTGATAGAGCTTTCTGTGTTGGTGCTCCATCACTCTGGAACAAGCTTCCTCATGCCATCCGCTCTGCTCCCTCTCTAATGACCTTTAAAAACCAGCTTAAAACACACCTCTTCACTGAGGCTTATGGGCTTTAGCTCTCCTGCCCTCTCACCTTTCTCCTCCTATCCCCTCCCTTCTCCCCCCTCTTGCTTTGGTTAAAGGGGTCATGAACTGGCTTTTTAAATTGTTTTATATTGTTGTCTGAGGTCAACTTATGACGTTCGCTTGGTTTTTACATTCAAAAACATCAAAATGAATAACTAATAGGCTATTTTCTACCCTAGTTTTGAGCCTAGCTCAAAAACGCTCGGTTTTTATGGACGTCTCGCATTGAAGACTTGGAAGTAAACGCCCACTGCTGTGAGTGGATAACAGTTTTGCATATTATAATGAGTTTTCTTGTAATGCGCGAATCGGTGGGCGGGGCTAAACCGGCCGTGTTGAAGTAGGCGTTGATCTTCTTCTGCGGGGGTGGTGTTTTATCCTCTTTGTCGTCATAGTTCCCCACTTTGAAAAACAGGTCGTTTGCTGAGCCTGGTGTCAATAAAAGCTTTTATTGGACTAACAAGGACGTTTTCAGTTCTGAAACTTACAGGATATTCTTATAATTTGATGACCTCTTAGATGTCAAAAGCTCAAGGAAAATTTGATTTCTCTGTTCATCACCCCTTTAAGCGTCCTTGGGTTTTATGAAAGGCGCTATATAAATGAAAGTTATTATTATTATTATTATTACTTTTGTTCTTCTGACCAACTAAGGGAAAAAAATCATTGCAGTAAATCGCGCTGATTAAATCTAACGATCGTTTATCATATCACGTCAAACCGTGCAAATTATACTTTGTTCTCAAATTGTTAATGTTCAACGTCAGCATTGCGTGACTACATATAAAGCCCTTCAGATATTATGCTTGTTTTCGCATGGGCCGTTGCAGTCTCTTTCTTTCTGTAGCCACTCTGAAGTCTTCTGTATTTTACAGCGGGGGAGTCTCTAGTTGTCACTGGTGATTGTCGTTTGAACCTTTCTGGATCCGCCATCACATTAATAAGTTTAATTATATCAAGTGCTGTGAGAAAAGGCTATAAATCTCCACCTCCAACATCCTCACACTCATAGCCTACTAGCCGAGACTCTTCTTTATGTGTACAGATGTGTGTGTGTGCAGATGTGTGTGTGTGCAGATGTGTGTGTGCAGATGTGTGTGTGCAGATGTGTGTGTGTGCAGATGTGTGTGTGCATATGTGTGTGTGCAGATGTGTGTGTGCAGATGTGTGTGTGCAGATGAGTGTGTGTACAGATGTGTGTGTGCAGATGTGTGTGTGCAGATGTGTGTGTGTGCAGATGTGTGTGTGCAGATGTGTGTGTACAGATGTGTGTGTGTGCAGATGTGTGTGTGCAGATGTGTGTGTGTACAGATGTGTGTGTGTACAGATGTGTGTGTGCAGATGTGTGTGTGCAGATGTGTGTGTGTACAGATGTGTGTGTGCAGATGTGTGTGTGCAGATGTGTGTGTGCAGATGTGTGTGTGTGCAGATGTGTGTGTACAGATGTGTGTGTGCAGATGTGTGTGTGTGCAGATGTGTGTGTGTGCAGATGTGTGTGTGCAGATGTGTGTGTGTACAGATGTGTGTGTGCAGATGTGTGTGTGCAGATGTGTGTGTGTAGATGTGTGTGTGCAGATGTGTGTGTACAGATGTGTGTGTACAGATGTGTGTGTGTGCAGATGCGTGTGTACAGATGTGTGTGTACAGATGTGACGTAATGACGTAAAGACATGCTTGAATTAACTGCTGAAATCCACCAGCACCACTGGAGTTAAAAACATTATTACAAGCTTACCGTGTTGAATCGAGCTACGGCAAGCAGAGAGTGTTGAACACTGGCTGCTTATGTACTTGCTCAAAAATTTATTTTGGATAATTTTTAACCCAAAAAAGTTACGGACTGCAGCTTTAACTACCTTAGTTAACATGAACTAAGAAAGAACAATACTCCTTCAGCATTTATTAATCTCAGTTTATATTAATATCAACATTTACAAATACGTTATTAAAAACAAAGGTTGTATTTGTTAACATTAGTTAATGCACTGTGAACTAACATGAACAACGACTATTTTTATTAACTAACATTAACAAAGATTTATAAATATTGTAACAAATGTATTCCTCATTGTTAGTTCATGTTCGTTAATACATTAACCAATGAACCTTATTGTAAAGTAACAAAAATACATGTTAATACATGTTACACAAAAATACATGTTGTCCATCGTTAAAACGGTGTCGTGTAAATGGCAACGGAAGTGAATCAATCAAAACTAACTTTAGCTGGACAATAACTTTATTCTAGAGCTGCTGTAAAGCCAAAACAATCTCTATTAGGCTACTTTAATGTCCTATTATCTCTGTAAAGCTGCTTTGAAACAATCCGTATTGTTAAAAGCGCTATATATATACACTCACCTAAAGGATTATTAGGAACACCATACTAATACTGTGTTTGACCCCCTTTCGCCTTCAGAACTGCCTTAATTCTACGTGGCATCTATTCAACAAGGTGCTGAAAGCATTCTTTAGAAATGTTGGCCCATATTGATAGGATAGCATCTTGCAGTTGATGGAGATTTGTGGGATGCACATCCAGGGCACGAAGCTCCCGTTCCACCACATCCCAAAGATGCTCTATTGGGTTGAGATCTGGTGACTGTGGGGGCCATTTTAGTACAGTGAACTCATTGTCATGTTCAAGAAACCAATTTGAAATGATTCGAGCTTTGTGACATGGTGCATTATCCTGCTGGAAGTAGCCATCAGAGGATGGGTACATGGTGGCCATAAAGGGATGGACATGGTCAGAAACAATGCTCAGGTAGGCCGTGGCATTTAAACGATGCCCAATTGGCACTAAGGGGCCTAAAGTGTGCCAAGAAAACATCCCCCACACCATTACACCACCACCACCAGCCTGCACAGTGGTAACAAGGCATGATGGATCCATGTTCTCATTCTGTTTACGCCAAATTCTGACTCTAACATCTGAATGTCTCAACAGAAATCGAGACTCATCAGACCAGGCAACATTTTTCCAGTCTTCAACTGTCCAATTTTGGTGAGCTCTTGCAAATTGTAGCCTCTTTTTCCTATTTGTAGTGGAGATGAGTGGTACCCGGTGGGGTCTTCTGCTGTTGTAGCCCATCCGCCTCAAGGTTGTGCGTGTTGTGGCTTCACAAATGCTTTGCTGCATACCTCGGTTGTAACGAGTGGTTATTTCAGTCAAAGTTGCTCTTCTATCAGCTTGAATCAGTCGGCCCATTCTCCTCTGACCTCTAGCATCAACAAGGCATTTTCGCCCACAGGACTGCCGCATACTGGATGTTTTTCCCTTTTCACACCATTCTTTGTAAACCCTAGAAATGGTTGTGCGTGAAAATCCCAGTAACTGAGCAGATTGTGAAATACTCAGACCGGCCCGTCTGGCACCAACAACCATGCCACGCTCAAAATTGCTTAAATCACCTTTCTTTCCCATTCTGACATTCAGTTTGGAGTTCAGGAGATTGTCTTGACCAGGACCACACCCCTAAATGCATTGAAGCAACTGCCATGTGATTGGTTGATTAGATAATCGCATTAATGAGAAATTGAACAGGTGTTTCTAATAATCCTTTAGGTGAGTGTATATGACTTGACTGTACACTTCAAGCTCTAGTACTCACAAACATAGGGCCGAAGTCTGAGTCTCGGTACACATGCATGTATCCCAGATACACCAGCAGAGCCACCATAGAGTAGAGGAACGCCAGGACGGCCACGGCCACGAAGAACTCCACCGCGGACGAGGAGTCTCCCACCAGATGCGTTTCAGCAACGGTGCGGTTGCACAGAGTGGCGTTGTTCTCCAGCAGCCGCTCCTGGTTCAGCCTTCACCGGCAACACAGAGCACAGGAGAGGATATGCTATTATAGGCTTATTTTAATTGTGTTTTTGTAATTTTTATTAGTGTTTGGGTTTTTAAGTATTACTATTTAGGTTTATTTTATTTTTAGTTTTGTTTAATTAAAGTTTTTTTTTTTTCATTTAATATTTGTATTTAATAGTTGTATTTTTTTAATAGTTTTAGTTAATAATAGTAACACCCAGGAAATAGTTTATATAAGTCGGGCCAAACCTGAATGAGTGTTTCATTGCCGGAACTTAATTTGCTGAAATTGTCGTAATTTAGTAATGTCATTTTTATTAGGTTTTATTAGGCTATTTTGGTTTATTTTTTATTTCAGTTTTAGTTTACTTTTTCAGTTAGTTGCCAAGATAACATTCACCATTTTCCATTTATTTTTTTTACAGCAAATATTTCACCATTATTTTAACTAACAAAAATATTTTAAATAGTTTTAGTTGATAATAATAACCATGGAAAGAGTTTATATTAGTTGGGTTACATTTTTGGTATGTGTTTCTGCCATTTACATTATTATTATTATTATTAATATATATTTTTAAATATTACTATTTAGGTTTATTTTTATTTGAGTTTTAGTTTGTTTAGTTTAGTTATAGTTAGTTGGCAAGGCAACATTTCGAATTTTCATATAGTTTTTTTTTCATATAATATTTGTATTTTATTTAAGCTTATTTCGATTATCAAAAATATTGTAATAATAATAAAATAATAACCGTGAAATTAGTTTATATTAGTCACGCCAATGTCGAAACTTAATTTAAATTTGAGTTAAATTTGTAATAATTGTGTCATTTTTATTAGGTTAAATATATACATATAAAATTGATTAATTGTGATTAATCGTATATAACATAGATGTTTGTGTATGCACACACACACACACACACACACATATACATTTACAAACTTTTATGTTAGATGCGATTAATCGCGATTATTCGATTTGACAGTTTATTGCCATTTCAGTTTGTTTCCAAGACAACAATCATTTCATCTTTATTTAAATGATCAAAAAGGTTCTAATAGTTTTGGTCACTCGTAGCAACCGTGGGAAGAGTTCCCGTTACTCGGGCGAACCTGAACGGGTATGTGAGAGTGGCCGTGAGTGTCTCGTTGTCTCCTCCGGCACAGAAGATGGAGAGCTGGGTTCTGCCGGTGTATCCTCCACAGGTCCCGAACGCAACGACAGCCGTGAGCTGCAGAACAACACAACATTACATGAGGCGAAACGCCATGCAAACATCTTCAGTTTCATAAACAATACAAGCCAAATAGCTTTTAAATTTAACGCTCCAGCAGATTGGAATAATCAATCTGTGGAAATAAGATCAATTTCTTTACTTGGTTTGTTTAAACAATGCCTCTGTTACTAAAGATGCATGCAATTGTTGATCTACTGTCCATACCTAATGTTTATATTTGACTGTAGTTAGAAATTCGTTCATACTTTACAGCTTATTTACTTATTATTGGCCATCTTTGCAGGTGTTGTTTGTTTTGATTTTTCACTTCTTTGTTGTTATACAATTATTGTGTTATACAGGTGAAACTCGAAAAATTAGAATGTCGTGCAAAAGTATAATTTATTTCAGTAGTTCAACTTAAAAGGTGAAACTAATATATTATATAGACTCAAAGTGAGATATTTCAACCCTTTATTTGTTATTTTGATGATTATGGCCTACAGCTTATGAAAACCCCAAATTCAAAATTAGAATATTGTGAAAAGGTTTTCATAAGCTATAAGCCATAATCATACAAATTATAACAAATAAAGGCTTGAAATATCTCACTTTGAGTCTATATAATATATTAGTTTCACCTTTTAAGTTGAACTACTGAAATAAATGAACTTTTGCACGATATTCTAATTTTTCGAGTTTCACCTGTATTTTTGGGACCCCCTCGAAAACGAGATGATACACCTCAAGGGGTTTATCCTATTAATAATCACATTTTTAAATACAAATGCACAACCTAAGGATACACTGCAATGAAACAACCTCTCTTCTCCGCCCATGCAGATCATCTGACGTCCTAATCTGATCCTGAGCTCAGTTTTAACCTTTGATTCCCTGCCGGTTTGTGTTTAACCCTTGCTAAGCTAAATGAAGACCTGCTGTTCGTGGCCAAAGGCAAGCTCGTTTTCCAACACCAGATGTTTGTGTTCGCTGCATGAGACATCCTGTTTGCCAGCTCATTCTCAAGATGCAATCCTAACAAACACGGGGAAAGTGTTCACATCAGTCCGTCTCTCGGGTTGTGCTCGGCAACAGCTGACTCAGTAACGCCGTTTTCACTGCCAATGTCTAATTCCTTTGAGGAAATAAAGAAGGGAGGAACTTCATGTAAGAAGGTGGCTAAAGAAAACTCGAGACGTGCTGAGTTGCTGGTGTAGCGAATGTGCATTTTATGGGGGAAAAATAAAAATGCAGTGGAGTCCCAAGAAAAGTGAAAATGCCATTTTGAATTAGCTAACTATGCATAAGCATACTAAAATATGCATGCAATTTTTATATAAAATTTCTTAGTATGCATATTATACAAAACATAATCCATACGATCCAATTTAATTTCCAACATGGGAAAATCTCAAAGTAAAACAAGCAACTGTGAACAATATGATACACTGGTGTTTTGCCAGATGAGAAATGTATCATCTTTTTCCTCCTTTTATAACCGTTTTAATCTCCCTTGCTTTTATTTTGTGGTTATTTTAATTCCTTTCTGTGTAAAGCACTTTGAAATTCCAGTGTATGAAATCAAATGTGCTATATAAAATAAACTTGCCTTGCCTTTTCAGGTTTCCAGATTTAAAATGTTATAATGCATCCCACATTGGTATTGCTCACTAAATAATTCGTGTGCAAAAGTTATACATAACATGTTAAGTACTAAATCTACTAGTATAAGTAAAGTAGTTGTGCTAAATATTAAAGCTGGTGAATGTAGATAATTTGCATGGAAGAATGCATTCGCGTGAACGCGCTTTTTGCCAGGCCTTTGCCCTTCGTATGAAGTTATTAAAAGCATGAAAACGATTTCTTACTTACCCACTCCACGACTTTAACAAAACCCAGAGGCTCTCTAACAGGGCTCAAATTTAATCGGAATCCAGTCTGCATCTTTTCCCAGCGACCCAGAAATCCTCCAGGAAGAAAAGGAAGGAGCTTGAATCTTTTCTGGCTCAAGTTTTCATATGAAAAAAGTTTGACAGAGTGACGTGGTTCTGTGGTAAATGATGCTGCTCCTCCTCCGCGAGGAAACGAGAGTAAATCCAGATGAATTAAGAGAAACTGATGAATTTTTGAAGGGCGTTTTGATTTTTAGCAGACAATAATACAAGGCATTTAGTAGCCTAATATATTTGATTAAATCTGACGTGTGTATCCAATACACGTCATCACGAGGTGAAATATATAGTTCTCCCGGTTTTTTTATGCGCGTGTAAAACAGCCCAGCGAACAATATTTCAGTCATATGATTCTGTGAGACGCTAGAGATGGATTCTCGACATTCCTGTGCTCCGTTATAAACTCTCAAGTCTCTTAAAGGAACAGTCCACCCATAAGTTAAACTTGTCATTTGAATGACTTTCTTCAGGGTGCGAATTGTGGAGGTCTGTATGTGGAGCCATAATAGACAGATGCCTCATTAGCGGCTGCTTATATGGTCCGCTATATGTAAGCCGTCCGCCATATTGGAACGGTCAAAGCCGTGACCATATATATTGCGTCAGTTATGACTTTCCGTAATTATGATTTACCAACGAATGTTACATGCTGTTGTGTTGTGTAGACCCAAACATTACAAGTGCTAAACTAACACAATATAACAAGACAAAGAAGTTAGCAGACACGAAATTAAAATGCTACCATAGTTTTAAAAAAACTGTAATATTACGTTAATACATATCAAAACACAAACCAACACATCCTCACCCGAGAAAGGTTATGAATTTTTTTCCACTGATTTAAATCTCAGCGGTTTCATGTTATAGCATCTTGGAAAACTTGATTTTTATTGAGTAAAGACAGCACCTGAAATGTTGACTGTTCCAAGATGGCGGACGGGTCAACTTGGTCGAATGTGGTTTCTGTGGGTATTTCTATGGCTGGAATTCTTTCAGATCGGTATCGGGATCATTACAAAACAAGTACTGTATAGATATTGTTAAAACTTATATTTATTACACGTATGCATAACATTTGTAATACTTTAATATTTCTTTAAAATATTTATTATAGATGATTTACATGAAAATAACAAAAGGATGTTGTTATATAGAAAATTTGGCACTTTATCTTTTGCGCAATGATTGGCTGCTACCAAATATGACCAGTAAATACATTTTCTAAATCAAACGACCACTGTATCGAGAGAAATACAAGTCAGACCAGAATTGGTATGATATTGCTTTTTATTTAAACTTTCACACTAATGTTCCTTAACACAGTTTTAAACTCGTGATCAAAGTGAAGTGATTTAATTACTAGATTGAAGGCTAGTGCATCGAGAAACACTTTACTGTCCGTACAGCAGCTATAAAAGGGAATGGTTTCGTCTTGTTCACTATTCCATAAAAAAGGAAAAGAAATAATGACATTTCAGCAAAAAGGGATTGACTGTTGTTTTTTCAATATCCTGTCAAAACGGCATCGGTCATGTTCGTTTAAAATATCAGAAGAGGTTGAAACAAAACGGGAGACCCAACATATACATAAAAACATCCATGAAATTATAATTAGCAAGTATTGTCAAGTGTACAATCCAACATGTACACACACACACACACACACACACACGTGCCAGAGACTAACTGAACATCAGTCTTCTACAGATCGTAACAGATCAGTGAATTTTCTGTTGTTACAAAATGGGCATTAGACAAAAATAAAAACAGATCTCTATTTGCACTAATAAGAAGCCAGCTCTCTCAAAATAAAAACACACGCCGATATATACAAGAGAGGAGGCAGTTTGGCCACATTATTCTGACTATGGATATTTACTATGGTAACTCTGACGGTATTTACGTCCGTCATAAAAAATAATGATTCTGGAGTTTGAAACATTAAGTATACAAAATAGTAAAACCAAGCTCTTCTAAAATGGTTCCTGCTGTATAATAAAACCTGTGTTTTCAAATAAAGCTGTAGTGAATAGTGAATCATGATGGAGCATTTAATATGTTGGCAAAATCTGGGAAATGTAGAAAGTGAAGGGTCTATTATATCTGGTTGAATTCTGTCTTAAACATGTCCAGATTATATTTCACCCCAAACATATCAAAAAGAGAGAAATAAGAAATTATATTTTGCATAAAGGAAATGAATCCTCCTGTTAGGACCGTTAAGATTAAAAAAATATAATATTTATACATCATGGTAGTATGTGGTGCTTTTAATGTATGTTGATTTAAAAAAATATTGTAATATTAAAAAAAATACTGCATTATAGTAACAACATTTAATATTTTCAGTGTTAATAATGAGAATGATTAATGAGAATCACTGTCGACACCTACAGTAAAACAAAATGGTGGTAATTTATGCTGATTTAAATAATAAAAAAAATCCTTATATTGCAAAATAAAAAAATAGTGCATTACAGTAACAACATTAATGTTTTCACTGTTAATAATAAGAATGGTTAATAATGAGAATTACAGTAAAAAAATTAAAAATCTGGACACTGAGAATTTTTGGTAAAATGTGCTTAAACATGAAAGCTTTATTTCCTTTATGCAAAATTAAGTTTCTCATTCAGTTCTTTAGATTTTAGGGCGTAGCTAAACATGTTCTTGCGAATTTCACCATTGAAATGAAAATAGAAAGGACAAACAAAGCCAACAAAAGAGAATGAACATATCCCTCTAGTTCAGCCATCTCCTTTGCATAAAGGAATAGATTAATCCTTTGATAAAGTGAAAACCCTACACACAACATTCACATTCAACGAACACTGAACGATTACCTTTCAATCCTACAGTCAAGCAAAGCGACATCTTCTCGCGGTGTACGCACACATATACGTCTCCATTCCTGCAAAGACGTGTGATCAATAGCACGCTTGGTCAAATACACAGTTACATGATTTAAATAGCATGACAATTGCTCTCATCCGCCATTAGAAGGAGACATTGAAGCATAGTGGAGTCAGTAGACAGAAACACAGATCAGCTCTGTACACTGAACTGAAGGTGGGGTAACTGTGTGGGCACATGTCCTCACGTCTGTGGATGATGGGTGGAGAGAGAGAGAGAGGACTGATGGAGGATCTCAGAGCAGCAGATCCTTCACTTCGCTCTCCTTCAGCTTGGCATTGTCTCTGACCTCATCGAAGGTGTACGTCTTTACAATCTTCCCGTTCCTGAACACAGTGTGCAGCAAGTCCTGCGAGGGGACAAATGGACATTACTCTAACACCGTGTCCTAACTAACTTCTCCATGTTAATCAGAGTTGTTGTCCTGACCAGTGGCGACACGCGACGACTCTATTTTAGAAACGGTTTCTATTTTTCTGCGACGTGGCGCTGGAACAACAAACACAAAGTGTGGCAATGATTATCTCAGGTACTAGGGCTGCACGATTTGGGGAAAATGTCATATTGCGATTATTGAGGTCAATATTGCGATATGCGATTGCCATGTATTTATGTACCGTATTTTCCGCACTATAAGGCGCACTTAAAAGCCTTTCATTTTCTCAAAAAACGACAGTTGGATGGTGAACACGCGTTCACCAAGACGGGGAGACAGCGCCGGGCGACTAACGCCACTATCTGCCAATGGATCGTGGATGCCTGGGCTGATATATCAGTCTTAACTGTGATCCGAGCTTTCACGAAGGCAGGAATAATCTCTTTATTCAGCCAGCTCACATACCCGTACTTACTTCCTGTTTTCGGCCGAAGTCCACAGTAGTTGATTGTCGAGTTCGCGCGCGCGCGATCAAACCTCCTCCGTGTGTTCAACATCTGATTCGGATGAACTATCCATTTGAGCTGATATTCTCAGAACACCACACAGCACCGTCATCGGCTGACAGCTGAGTCTCCACTGTTGCTTAGTTACCAATGATCGCGCGCACGCACTCGACAATCGCCTACTGTGGACTTCGACCGAAAACAGGAAGAAAATACGGGTATGTGAGCTGGCTGAATAAACATCATTTTTATTCATATCTTGACTCAAACTATGAATATCAAACTATTCATACTGCAGTCAGATTCACCGAAGAGGCTAAAAGCAGGTTTAAAACTTTTCCCGTTTAAGTCAACAGGGTGCAAACTTTAAAAAGAGGATAACACGGTGTAGGCAACACCGGTTTTTGTCGTTGTTATCTGTACTGACAGCACTCCAAATTTACAAAAAATGAGCTCAATGTTAAAATTGACCGGAGTTTTCCTTTAACGTTTGAACAACGTTACCATGGGAGTGAACGGAGTTGTCAGAACGCTTTATAAAGTTTGACTTTATCTGACTGTTTTGTTGACATCTAGTGGATGCATAACGCAAACCCAGTCAAACGTTTGACTGCAGTATCTTATGCACCTTATAATCCGGTGCGCCCTATATATGAAAAAGGTTCTAAAATAGGTCATTCATTGAAGGTGCGCCTTATAATCCGGTGCGCCTTATAGTGCGGAAAATACGGTAAATGTAAGGAAATTGAACAGGCTGCCGCTTGACGATATGCAAGTAAGCGAATGGATTAATATTTTTAATAAGTACCCTAGTGAAAAAAACTATAACAAAATACCTTTATTTCATACTAAGGATACTACAAAACCCCATTAACATATTTACTGACATATTGTTTGAGACTTACTGCAATAAAAACTTTATTCGGAGTATTTCTTTATTGCATATTTCTTAATGTTAAGCCTAAAATGTGTTTTAACATCACTATTAGTAAGGATAGTATGATCACAGTATTGTCTTTAAATGCAATATATTTTAAGTGTACCTAAAATATACTTGAAATAGTTCCACTTTAGCACAATCAAATATACTTAAGTTATCTTTAGTTGGACCTCAGCACTATTTCTGGATAACTAAAGTGCATTAAAGTGCAAAATTAGTTTTAATTTAGCAGACTTAAAGTATACCAATTTAGTATGCTAACAGTGCAATTGCAGGGTATTTAGATTAAGTACGTAATATGTAAATGTATTTCTAGGGTACTTAGCATAAAATAAATGTATTTCAAATATATTTTAGTATATTTCACTAGGATAGAGCTGCACAAATAATCGTTAAAAGATCACGATCTAGATTCAAACACCAATCAGATCTTATTTCTACAACGATTCAGCTATGTCTAACATTATCAAGCTAAATGTATGATTCATTTTTAATCTCGCTGAATGAACGTACCTCTCCATACTCCTCCAGATCACCCTTGCCCTCTTCCAGAGTGACGAAATCTCCACTTGGCGTCCTGTGAAGAGAAAGCCGACCCTTCTTTGACCTTTTGTTGGGGTCTGCAACAGGATCTTTGAAGACGTTTACCTGTAATTAACAACATCTTGTTAGTTTATAATAAATCCTACATTTTCTGAATTATGCATACTATATACAAGATCAGATATATTTCTGTTTCTGTAAAAAAATGGCTAGGGATGTCAATTTTCAGGAATTTTCTGATGTCATTAAAATAATAAATTGACTGATTAACTGTTAACATTAATACCGCAAAATGAATGTTTAGGTCTCCAAATACCATACACACTTAGCTCATCATAAGTGCAATTAAAGATGAAGCATGTCATTTCAGTGACACTCGTGTCATATGCACCGATATGAACATTTTGGCCGATAACCGATAATTCTTTATATTTGAAAGCCGATATATATCGGCCGATAAATCGAAAACCAAATTTTTATATAATTTTTGAGAGCCTGATTACAAAACCAAAATTCTCACCATTAAAAGCCATGACCCAAGCACACAATTATAGTGTTCTCATAATTTTATGTAGCTTATATGACAGCACATGTTGCACTTGCACTGTATTTTCCCTTTTTCCAATCATATTTCAAGCAATTGAAAACCATCATGGCGAACAGTGTGAATCTGAAGTGTCTCAGCTAAAGGAAATAATCCATTATTTATTGGCCTTAATATATTAGCCAAATTTTCTTATCAGGGCGATAACGATAACATCAAAAATTAACATATAACGTCCGATACCGATATGGTGGTATCCCTACTAGTGTTGTCAAAATATTCGGTACCAAGTCGGTCCTAAAAAAAATTAAACGTCACGGTACCAAGTACCGGTGGTACCGAGTACCCGGTCAAACCCGGTTCTGGATGCGCATGCATGCACGAAGGGCGTGAAGTTGCGTCCTCTTCATGAAAGCGCTGAGACATGGCGACCAGCGGCGCTGCTGATGTGGTGGCTGTAAATCCACTTGTTGATAAGAAAGGAGGAAAGAGCCATGTGTGGAAATTAGTGTTGGCTAAGTACCGGTACTTCTGTAGTACCGGGTATATTCGGTAGACTATTTAAAAGACTATTTAAATATTAACCCTGCATGTTCTGCTTGTCTCTGTGTGAATGAATGGCGCAGACGCGTGGTTTCATTTAACGTTACCTCACACACACACACACACACTGAAGCACGAGTGACGCTCGCGCTGTTTTCAGTCTCTGCTGCCTCATGATATGATGACATGATTCAGGATTCAATTCATCTCCAGAGCCGCTCTGAGAGTCACTTCATGAGCATTTTACCATTTCATTTGAGAAAAACTATCGTCATATCTGATATCTTACTCGCACAGAAACTCAAAGGTCTTCACGGTTTAACTTAAAGAAATTGACAGAAATAATTATATTAGGCTACTGTACAATATATTTAACTATGTCTCTATTAATTAAAAATACTACTACTACTAATAATAATAATGTGTGCATAGAAGGTTGCTTATTTTTCAACTTTTTTATTTCATCAATATTTTCGTTTAAACAGCATGTAGCCTTCAATACTTTCATAAATTTACCGTCATAAATAATAAAGTCTTTGAATTGAATTTAATATTTCTTTTCAAATAGTTAAATAAATTGGAAAAATAGTTCAAACAGATTTTGCTGTGGTACCGAAATTGGTACCGAGAACCGTAAAATTTTAATGGTACCGGTACCAACTACTGGAATTTTGGTACCGTGACATCCCTAATCCCTACTAAATGCAATAGCTAAATCTGCCATTAGTCGGTACTTACGCCAAGTCCATTCGTCACCACGTAACTGCACTTAAAAGAGCAGTTGAGCAGATCTCGGGTCAGTTTCTGCAGCAAAGCTCCTCCTGAGCCGAAAGAAATGTTCTCGATGCTCCATCTGTGCTTTTTCATGCCCTCTACAATCTGTATAAAACAATCAAACGGGTACAGAATGAGTTTAAACTCACCAAGAGCTCACATAGCATAAAGTCTGACATGAGCTGGACATACACACCTCCTGTAAAGTATTGATGTCCACGCCGTCACCCTGAATGACTCTGATGTAGGGCGGAAGCACTTTATAGCCTTTAGAGTTCTCAACCGGATGAAATTTCTTTCCTAAAATCTCTAAGACCTGGAAAATAAGACATAATGATCACGACTTTATGTGTGCTGCACAAAAATCTTTGCAAATGTATTCCTAATATGTTCTTATACCTTCAAAATAGGAACGGAATGCACTTAATTTTGAAAGGAATATATATATATATATACCCAGTGAAACTCAATTTATTCAGACACCTTCAACATTTCTCACATTATCACAGTTTATTCGCTATAGTTTAGAAAATGGTAATAAAATATAACAAGAACTCAGAGTTATTAAATCAGTTGATATTTCACTGGTTTTGGGCGTCCTTCTGTTAGACTCTCACAGATGAATTATGTTGAATATCTGTCAGCTGTTAAATTTAACTGCACAATTAGAGAATACCAGTTTAGCTCAAACAATTACCAAGCAATGCTTCATTTTGTTCAGTCTGTTGTGTAAAAAGATCGCCTTAGCAATTAAAGAAAAAAACACTTCAGCAAAACATATACATTTTACTGGTAGTCACTGTATGAAGAATATTTGGGTATAATATGTCACGGTTTACTTTATTTTACTATCCTCACTTACACAAATGAACCATAGTGTCTTGCACCAACTAGTAAAAAATATATATATAAAAAAAATATATATTGGTGTCTGAATAATTTTTGGTTTGACTGTATATATGGGTACACATGAAGTACTGTGTACCTGGTAATGTGAATGTGAACATGTTAATGTGAATGTGAACATGTTAATGTGAATGTCTACCTTCAGCACTGTGTCTAGAGGGTTTCCTGAATCTGGTCGGACCAGTAGCGGTGCGTCTGCGCTCCTCATCTCGATCAGACTCCTCAGATCTTCCCCCCAGATCTTCTCACAGGCGTTGTAGATGTCGTAGCTGTCGCTGACGATGGACACGGGCACAGAGGGGAACTGCTTGACAATGTGTTCAAAAGCATCCTTCTCATGGTCCTTTCCCCAGGCAGTGATTGTGCTGCAACACAAGGACACGGTCAGTGAGATCAAGAGAGACAGGTAGAGATGCACCGATTGATCGGCTGGTGACCGGAATCGGCCGATTTTCACGTGATCGGCCATGATCGGCGACCGGCCGGTCAGTCTGACATGCCGATTTTATGCCGGTCAAATGCACTCGGGCGCCGCATGATTAACATCGCGCAACATCAGCATCACACGTGCACACGGAACACACATGTAGGAAACCTCGTGAATGAATTACGACCGTTTCACACCGCAAGCGTGAGCAGCAGGTTTTTTTTTTTTCTTCGGCGTGCATGTTAATCAATGAGTGCATTCACACCGGGAGCCGGAGCAGCGCGTGAGCGTCGAGCAGGAGCGTCGCGTGAGCAACAGTGAAGCGCGGGTTTCAGCGCCGAGTCTATTCTGCTCGCGCTCAATTAAAGTGAAAGCATACTTTTGATGGACAAAATAAATATGATTTCACCCCAAAAGTGCCCAAAATGCACAGAATTTGCACGTCTGGAGTGTTTTAACAAGAAGTGAAGTAGCCAGGCTATGTCAGAAAAGAAAATTAAGACTCAAAAATATTTATAGAAAATAACTTGTTTTTATTCCCAATTGTTTCCCTGCATATGCTCCACTTGTCCTGTTTAGCCTGGCTGGACATGTGTCAGAGAGAAAAACTGTTTGAGAAATATAACTTGCCATTGATGTACAAGTGATTGCAATAGGCCTGTGTGTGTGTGTGTGTGTGTGTGTGTGTGTTGAGAAATATATACTGCAAGGGTAGGCTATATTTATTTTATTTTTATTTGTTATTTATATATTATTTTATTGCCATTACCTGTTTTCATACAGAAGTTTAGTTTGCTAAATATCAAATTGTTTTAGTTGGATATTGGATGTGAAAAGGAAATGGTTCTTCCATAACACTGCACTTTAGATGTGTGTGAATTTCCCACACCAGGAGTAATTTATATAGTCCTATTTTATAGAGATTATCTGTTAAAAAAATGTTCTATGCAAAATGTTCTATTAAAGAGAAGATAGAAAATGAATATTTGTGTGTGCTGTAAAGTGGTTTAAAAAAAGGAAATCGGAATCGGCTAAAATCGGTATCGGCAGGTCAAACTCAAGAAAAATCGGAAATCGGAATCGGCCTAGAAAATTGTAATCGGTGCATCTCTAGAGAAAGGCTAAATTATTTAGGGGGAAAAAATTATTATACTTTTATTATTGATATAACATTTAGCAATGCTATAAAATAAGAATGCATATATATAAAAACACTACTCCTAAAACCTGAAGTGCTGATCATAAATAGTTTCAGATTTTGAGTATTACCACTAGGTGGCAGCATTGACAATATGAGTGCAAAGTTCCTCTGTTTCAATGTACTGCATTGTTTCTTTGCTGAAGTGTGAGGAAATAAGAAGGGTGATGATGCGGAACTAACTAAGCAGAACGAATTAGGCCATGCACCTTATTTTGCAACGTGGAAGTAAGCTAATTTCCTTCAATGTGCGATACTTCTAATTCATTAGCCGTTTTAGGTAAATAGCTAGATAAATGATTACCTAGATAAATGAAAATAATATGGTAAGAAATACCAGTTGTCAATATCAAGCACTATTTTTTGCACAGTTAAAATAACTGGAAGTGGATGTCTGACGCCGGTACAAATTGACTTGTACCCGATCTTCGGGACGAAATCTCACTTACTACACAGTAAAAGGAAACCCTATAGGCTATAACTTCACTTTAAGCGGTGTGAATAGCTATCATCAAGCTCTTATCAGACGCTTCTGCTTCGAGTCGTTTCACCTGTGTTCTGCAGCTGGTACTGAGTAACCAGGAACCGGGTCTTTGGTGCCGTAGTACTTCTTGATAACACCGATCCCGGCCACAGTGTCTGTTCCTTTGAAGTTTACCAAGTGCGCAGATGCGCCGATACCAGCCGTCTGAAAACAAGACACGAGTATAAACGCATAGCTAGTGCAGAAATGAAACCACTGAGAGAACATTACAGGGTGGAGGATGTTTGATATGTATTTAATGCTTGGTATTTACAGTACGTATGTTACAAATACGAGTAAGGAGACACTTTTGACTTGGATAGAGTCTCATCTTAGACATATGTAATCTGGTCAATTTGACAAACGTGGCACTTAAATCAGATTTTGGTTAAAAGCTTTTAAATGAAGTGTAGCGACACCTCTTGAGATGAAACCCCTCGGTAGCCGAAGTCATGCAGTTTATATTCCAGTCCCACCAGACTTCCTGACGTTTCCATGAGATACTTGGCCAGAATCTTCTTCTGCTCTCGTGAGTTAGTTGCGACGGTGATGGGATACCAGGACTGAACCAGGATAGTCTGTTAAGGAGACAAACACATCATTTCAACATTTCCCTTTAGCTATTAGCACACAATTGTGTTGTTTAATTAGGATTCTGCATTATGTGCTTTTAGTTTGTGAAACCGTTTCTTGCAGCTGTTGTTGAATCCATGAACATTTCCTGTGTATGTTTTCTCTAATGCAGCTTGTGTTTCAGCACATGTGAAAGGGGCACATTTTTTGGACCTTAAAAATGAAGCTAGTGCTGGTTTAGTCAGTTTACTTTTTTCCTGCGTGTAGTCAGCTGGAACATGAATCCAAAAACAACCCGCTTCATGCCACCCGAGTGCTTGGGAAGTGTCACACAGTCAACACAGAGGGTTTGCTGGACTTACATGAGGGGATGCCAGGCAGAAATGCTTTGTTTAAGACCAGCTGGTCAAGTCAATGTTATCACACTGCACACACTAACTGATAAGCACCTGACGCTATTTGGACACAAGAACATCATAGTGTCCCAATGGACTCAGTTCAACAGCAGCTCATGTGAAATGAGACTCTTGGACATTGATTATAAAGGCATTTAATTTGTTTAAAACCACTGTTAACTTTTGAATCTGCTGCAATTCTCTCGTTTGATAGTGATCTTATATTGCAGAATGTTTGTTGGCAATTAACATCGCAACTTATTTTACCTCAATAACTGGATGTATTCAATGAGAAATGTAGAGCGAGACTTGATTTTATCTATCAGGAACTGACTGGATCATGAGTGGGCATTCTGTATTACAATAGAGTATTCTTAAAACAACTAGTTAACATTATTCAATAGCTTACACAACCTAATAAATTGATGTGAATTAAACAGTCTTTTCCGACTAAGAATAACATGAAAAACAATGCACTGATGAATTGTGCACAATTAGATCAGGGCAAAAAAAAAGGAAACCCTGAACCACCACTAGTCTATTGTGTGTAAAAATTAAATAAAATAAAAATGATAATAATTGTATTTTAAAGAATACAGTAAAAATGCAATACTAATATTTATGGCTTAATATCTGCGTTCAAGCAATATTCCATAGAGCTTTTATTTTGGCAGAAAACCACAGGAAGACCTTAAGGCTCTTTTTGAAAACATATTTATAAACTATTATCATTTCATATTTGGTAAAACGGTTGCATGTTGCGTTTTCAAATGCACATTATGAGTGGCCCAAACTCACAGCAGCTTGCCAGACTATATACAGTGGTGTGAATAAGTTATTACCCCCATGCTAAAGTTGCCTAAAAAGAGGAATAAAAAATCATCTTTTGGAAATTGATCTTAATGCCTTAATTAGAAAAATGAGGAAAAATCCAACCTTTAAGGACACCAATTTTCTTTGTGTATGAATAATGTATCATAAATAAATAAATGTTCTTCCTTAAAATACAGGGTGCATAAGTCAGGCCCCCCCTATGTTAAATTCCCATAGAGTCAGGCAGATTTTTATTTTTAAAGGCCAGTTATTTCATGGATCCAGGATAATATGCATCCTGATGAAGTTCCCTTGGCCTTTGGAATTAAAATATCCCACATCATCACATTCCCTTCACCATACCTAGAGATTGGCATGGTGTTATTTCAGTTAGCCTAATAGCTGGTTTGATTTGCATTGAAAGATGATTTTATGGAAAGTACCCCATGCCAATCTCTAGGTATGGTGAAGGGAATGTGATGATGTGGGTCTATTTTAATTCCAAAGGCCAAGGGAACTTTATCAGGATGCATATTATCCTGGATCCATGAAATAACTGGCCTTTAAAAATAAAAATCTGCCTGACTCTATGGGAATTTAACATAGGGGGGGGCCTGACTTATGCACCTGTATTTTAAGGAAGAACATTTATTTATTTATGATACATTATTCATACACAAAGAAAATTGGTGTCCTTAAAGGTTGGATTTTTCCTCATTTTTCTAATTAAGGCATTAAGATCAATTTCCAAAAGATGATTTTTTATTCCTCTTTTTAGGCAACTTTAGCATGGGGGTAATAACTTATTCACACCACTGTATCCATATAATTAAATTGCAACCTCTGCGATTTGATAATCGTCAATAACCGTTTTGTGTACTCGCCAACATTGATTTTTACTCAGATTTGGCACTTGGAATTTGGCATGTATTAAGATAAGAAGCAAATGGGGTCAATTCTGTTTTCACATTGACTTAAAATGATACATCTGCAAGCTAGCGCAATGAATACCGAAATAATCTGACTGATGGCTATCAAAATAATCCAATTCAGCTTTCTTGCATTAATCAGGTGCAATGGTCTGTGTGTTTACTGCGTCTTCAGCAAGTATACTTTGCACATAATGTCATTAACTCGAAGTCTTGGATCAACACAGCCCAAAATCTGACTTTGTGCAGAGATGTGCGTCTTGTAAAGCCGAACTATAACCTATATGTGACTATCACAAATAAGAGATTCTCTCAACCCTCACGGCACAAAAGATGACCGCTGGAATGGGAGTGAAGGTTTAAGGGAAGCTTATTCTAAATATTTTAATTATCAGTATAATGTCGCCTTGCAAGTCTGAAAAGTCTCCAAACATTTGAGTTATTAGTAAGCATCAGTGCCTTCCCATGGTCATCATAAAGGAAGTAGACGTGTTTACAATCTCCTGAACTCACTGGAGAATAGATATGTGGAGCCAAGGGCATACGGACACACACACACAGTATAAATTTACCATCTTCACATGACATGTTTGCCATACATTCAAAGCCATCTGTAAAATAAAAACTGACCTCTTACTCAATTAAAGCTGATTTGAATATACAAATGACAAACCAAACGACCTTTCTCTCAGTGACAGGTGTACTATATCATGATGACTGGATGTCGGGCTGTCAGCGTGACTCAGCAGGTTTGATGCTAAACCCTATTGAGATGTTTGGGAGTGAGTTGTGTGGCATGATATGTCACTGTTTACACGGTCTATTACAGGAAGTTTGACAGGAATAGTCCGATCCATAACATGGAAAGTTTTTAAAACGCTGTAGTCATTACAGTGAAAAGCATAAACTGTCTTACAAGTCCAATTATATATATATATATATATATAATTCCTCTGAACAAGAAGAGGATCACGCTGCCAAACGGACACCCTACTGTTTACTCTACTAGTGGTTCATGAATTCCGTGTGTTCTGAGGCTAATATACAGTGCCAAATAAATTATGAGTCACATTTTGCAAATATATTCTAAATAAGAGCACAACTAAATAGTAAATAAGATTGAAATGCAGTTTCAAGGCTGGCATTTAAATGGATTCCGGAATAATAATATCTTTATATATAAAAAATAAATATAAAAACTAGGGCTGTCAAATGATTAATCACGATTAATCACATCCAAAATAAAAGTTTTTTTTACATAATATATGTGGGAGGACTGTGTATAATTATTTTGTATATATATGAACACACACACATGCTTGAAGAAAAGAGTGCATAATACAAAAGAAAACAAATAAGCAAACAAATAAACAAATAAACAAACACCAAGACAGAAGGCAATATAGATGAATTTATCTATACTACATACACACACACACACACACACATATATATATATATATATATATATATTAGGGCTGTCAAATGATTAATCGCGATTAATCGCATCCAAAATAAAAGTTTGTGTTTACATAATATATGTGGGTGGACTGTGTATAATTATTTTGTATATATATAAACACACACACATGCATGTATATTTAAGAAAAAAATATTATTTATATATAAAATATTTATATTTATATATAATATAAATTATATATAAATCTATATACAGTATATACATGAAAATATTTCTTAAATATATACAAGCATGTGTGTGTATTTATATATATAAAATAATTATACACAGTCCACCCACATATATTATGTAAAAAAAAACTTTTATTTTGGATGTGATTAATCACGATTAATCATTTGACAGCCCTAATAAAAACGTATACCTAGAATGCAAAGTAAGTATCTTTGGATAAAAGCATTGGATGAATATAAAAATAACTGTAGGGATGAGTTTAGGGTCATGACTCACCTCGACCCAGTTAGTGAGCCAGTAGCACTCCGGATCGGTGCTTTCTACGGTGAACAACACATTACCACGCGGGATAACACTTCCCTCCGGCACAGCCTTAATCTCGATGGGCAGTTGACCCTTGTATTTCTGCAGTCATATCACATAAGGGATGTTAATGAACATTCAGCATAGAAGGAAAAATCAGAGAGATGAGTTTCTCCGCACCTCCAAAATGTAATTCCATCCCTTTTCGTTGAAAACATCATCCTGAAAGTGTTCCCGGTAGACCTCCTTTGCTTCCTGAATCTTCTCTGGTGTGACAACCTGTCCTGTGAGTGCAAAAAGAGAGAGGACAACTGTGAGACTAGAGTAACAACACAGATCTCAAGAAAGCACAGAAACAATACAGGAATAAAAAGACTGTAAAAGAGGGTGGGAAGTTTGCGCCCCTGTTTGCATGTGTATAATTGCACACTTTCCTACATCCTTGCGTTATTGCATTAAGAGAAACTTCTATGCTCAGAGTGAAGCTTTGTCTTACCAATATTGTGCACAATGTTGCTACAAACTGTCTTAAAGGCACAGTATCCTCAAAAATAAAACTGCAGCACTACTTGTGCTAAAGTACTCATTTAGCAGATACTCTGATTAACACTACCTATGTAAAGCAGGGCATGCAAGGCTTGCAAATATTTAGGTTTTATGTGGGAATACTTGCTTGTTATTGGTATATTTGTATATTTTGTCATGCATCTAACCAAATGATGATCTGCCTCCAATCCAAAGTTAACAACTGTCTCTACAACGTGTCACATACAAAAAAAACTAATTTCACTTGTTTTTCTGAACAAGAACATTTAAACTTGGCTGTCACTACGTTGACATGTGCACCAATTAACAATAAAAGTTAATTGCAGTAAAACACGAGAAAACCTCTTCACTTCTCTTTACATGCAATTTTCATTATTCTGATTATTTGCTAAGTGTAGTTATCTTTACAGCCATTATTCTCATACCCCACAACACAAATGATGAACTTGCATATAGTAGGCGTGTTACTTGCTAGTTTTAATCTACTCACATCAAATGCAAAACACATTTCTATGGACGTTTTGGATATTATTCGGCGTAACTGGGGTTGCCTACGTTGCCGTCGGATGAATATGAGGAGCAGAGACTGAGTTCAGTCATTTGAAGTGATTTGTGACTATTTAAATACGAATCCTGCATGTCCCTGTGTGAAAAAATGGCGCAGGCGCGCGGTTTAATTTACCTCACACACACACACACTGGAGGTCGCATGTTTTCATCTCTGCCATGTCATACGAGGACATGAATGAATGGACGTCATCTCCAGACCCGCTCTGAGAGTCACTTTATGAGCATTTTACCGTTTTAATTGAGAAAAACTACCGTCATATCATAAACACACAGAAACTTTAAGGCCATCACGGCAAGTTCGGTTTAACTTGACCAATATATTGCTGTTGTACAGTAGAATTTAGATACGTCTCAATGTAATACTAACACTAATGTAATAATAATAAATGATCAAAACTTAGTTTTTTTAAGTATAATAATCAAACATTTTCTTCCATGTTTTAATTTTAAGAGTAGAAAGCTCAGTTGTGCAGCACTTTGTTTGAATTATATTAAAAGATAAATTTAATTAATATTGTATGTCTTCATTTGATTACCCAAAATTTGTGGGAAATCTTTTCATAGAAATGAAACTAAAAAATATAAATAATATAAAATGGGTGTTTTTATGAATTCAAGTTGCTAGTTTACTGGTGAATATTACAGTACACAAACATCACAGACAATAATACTTTTATAAATATCTTACAGTTTCTTTACAGTTATTGAGGTAAACATCCCTAAAGTACCGAAAAAGGTACCGGCACTGAATTACCGGTACCAATACCGGTTAAAATGTGAATGGTACCCAACCCTAATGAGCAACACACGGCATGTTGTGTACGTGCGCTCTTTGCTCAGGGGGGTAATGATGCGATTAAGGTGTTTCATTGCGACTAAAATTGGTGTACGCCACATTAATGCAATTATGGCTACTAAGCTTAATCGGTTTAATTGAAGTATTGTATTTACATGTGGTAAAGTTTAATTGCATTATTGACAAAATCCCATTACAAGCGCATTATGACTGTGCATGCAAATGTACTCATTGTGGCAGACTTTATATACACAATATGCACAGTGTATTTGTTTACGTGCATGTTTTATTAATGTAGTGCATGTTAGCTTATTCTGAAACCTTTTATTGGTGATGTAACGTTAGTAAATAACTCAAAAATTTCACAAACGTATGATACCTCTTGTTTTTAACTTATAATTTTTCACTAACCAATCACATGTTTGTGGGTTTTTTTTTAAACACATTTACTCAAAATGTCTGTGATTTAAGTATGGAAATACTATAACATCATCGCTGCTTGAATCTTTAAATGCCTTAAGTATCAAGTTCACAAAATGATCTGCAAAACAAATACTGAGGGTTAGAAATTTAGAACTAATTGTAAAACACTCAAGCATAAACAACTGATTAAAGGAAGACAGCAATAGAAATAGAAGTAGTGCAACTTTAGTATTTATTAGTCTACCAAAGCTGTGAAACAGACTGGTTCGGGCTGCTGTCTTTTGTGGGTTAAAGAGCAGATGTTCTATTGTCTTGTTTCATTCAATAGCACAATTTCTAAAGCCTTCACCATGAAATCCTTTACAGTGTAAAAATAGACAAAATTCCTTTATAAATGTGGTATTGCATGCAAGAACAACAACCTCAAACTAGAGTGCTAGTCACACGTCTTGCACTTAAACCGCCTCTTCGTGCTGCTATTTTCTTAGACTATAACTCTACCATCAAGTTCGGTCATTTAACACTGGCTCCATCACGAGAAAGTCATTTATTATTTTTTTTCTGTTGGAACAAACAGTGTTATTATTTTTCAGCCTGCTTATGAGCAGAATGAAGCAAACTGACTGTAAGTTTGGGTTTGGAGGGAAGGCGGCATACTTTAGCATGGACACAACCCAAAATTACCCACAGGGCTGCATTTCCCATTTACAAGTTAAATCAGCATTGGCAACCACGTCCAACGTACCTTTTAAGTATTTGTTGAGAATGTACTGAAGCCCATAGAAGACCGTCTTGTCGTATTTGACTTTTCTGAGCTTTGTAGAGTCTGTCTTCTTCTCACGGCACTCAAAGTAAGAATACACCTTACTAGTGTTGGGTGGATACTGTTTGTAATGCGTGACCTGCAAGAAAGAAAAATTTATATTATATATTCAATTCACAAACTTAATTCATAAAAAGTGAGATCCAAACAACATAACTCCTCACGTTGTTCCGCTGGCACTGCTCTGTTGAATTTGCAAATATGGTAATGGATGTCAACAACCCTGTGTCAAAACCATTTCTTGTAATTCAGACTGATGCTGGGTTTGACTCTAGCTTGTCTGCCAGACCTCCAGCACCAAATTACACACATTATTAGACAGACATCTAGCCTGGCTAACGTCAGACCACGTCTGGGAACCACATGTTCATTTTCTCATATTTGAGGCGTGGTTTATGAATGCCCAGAGCCGTTTATTGGGTGCTACGAATGTCTATCAAATGCGTCTGTACGTAGCTCATAGCCAATCGTTTCAATTATACCAGATGACGTATGTAGAGCGACAGAAATTAGACGAGGAAGAAGACGATGGGTCCGAGATTTATTTGCGTTCTAAACTACTTAGAACAATATCTAAGGCTGCATCGAAAGGTAACTTCGCGTCTGCTGCCATGTTGGATCCATAGGTATAAACAAACTGCTTCGGTGTGTCGCATGATAGACGTCGTCATCGTCTCGCTGCTCCCTCCCCGTTCTGTGATTGGTTCCCTAGATGAGGCGAAAATCTGGTCCATGGTATCCAGACTGCCTAGCAGTGTGAATAAAATCGCGCTGCGCAAAGGCAGTATGGGGAAACCCAGACAAACAGACATCACTACCATTATTGTTCATACTGACCCTAAGCATTAAAATGTTGGCATGCTACTCATCCTACACAGTTTATGCTACGGACAAGAATGATACCTCAAATGATGCAGCTTACTAAAAAGGGGTGGACTTTGGGGTGTGCAATATCATGATTTTAGCTCGTGAATGATTAAATGTATCCATGATCTGCCTTTGGAGGGAGATCGTAGTATCGTGCTACTAGGGGTGGTGAAAAAAATCGATTATTGATTAATCGCAAGTATGTTATGGACGAGTATGAATCGATTATTAAATTTTCCAAAATCGATTTTTTATTATTTAAAAAAAATTTTTTTTTGCATTATTTTATTTTGTAAAAAATGTTATACCGGAAGTTGAACTTCACGAACGCGCCCAGTTCCAGTTAGCAAGCGCGTGTAACGGCAGCCAGAGCGAGTGAGAGCAGGTGTGTAAAATGGAAGAACCAGGAACGAGCAACCAACCGATCCACCCAGCTCCATCTGGGCTCAAAGCAAGAGTGTGGATTCATTTTGGTTTTCATGGCAGGAGCTCTAAACATGTTGATAAAACAAATGCCGTCTGTCGACATTGCCACACTAAACTGAAGTACGGCAATACGAGCATCTTGAGGGCCCACATTTCCCGCTTTCATCCAGAGGAGGCAGGGTGGGTTAAAGACGACCGCCTGAAGCCCGTCATCCCACCGAATACTCAACTATATGACAAAATTGGAAATTGTTCTACAGTACAGTATAAACGCTGAAGCTACAGTAAGTTGTTCAAAAATGTTCATTTTGTCTTCTTAATGATTAAATTGGACAATTTTCTTCTAGAAAGACAAGGTGTTCAGGTGGAGAAAACTTTTTCTTTACCTTGACATGTTTCGACTGCAACCTGCATTCTTCCTCCACCTGAACAACACCTTGTCTTTCTAGAAGAAAATTGTCCAATTTCTACAGTATGTTGGTTCTGATCTACTTCCTAAAGGAAATAAGCCTTTCATTTATTTGATATTGTTTAGTTCAACTTGATGAGTCAAAACACAATGTGATGTATTCATTTCTGTGTTCTACAGAACATAAGCTACATTAAAATAATTCTGAAGTTATAACTACACAACACAGAAAGTGCTTTGAGTTGTTGTTTCTCAATAAAAGAGTTAAGTAATGAACCTTTGGTCTAATAAAACATTGGTACCTAGTCAACCGTTCTCTGAGATTTGTTTTCATGATAATCGAATGTAAAGAGTTTTATCTCTAAAAACTGTTTATTATGGTTTGATTAGTCGAGACTGTTTTCCAAAGATGGCTCCTCTCTGTATACACGAAGTGGACTGTCTTTATCTTTATCTTCTTATTAAACGGTCTGTACACTTATAAAGTTCTCAATGCTTCGTTTTGCATGTAGGGACCCTCATTATGTTACTGTGTTCGTGTGGGACTAGGTACCAATGTGTTATTAGACCAAAGGTTCATTTTGCGCCGGAGTTCTCCTTTAAAACTGCAGTGAACCAAAGACATTCTCAAAAACACGGTTTGAAATCGCTGGTGTTTCTGACGTCACAAACGACCTTGTAACCAATCAGATCAACGTGTGATCGTCATTGAGTGGATCTCTGAGCTGAGTGAGTGAGTGGAGGCGGGGCTCATTTGCATATTCATAGAACCGCGTATACTAAATGAGGAAAGGGTGTAGTGTGAAGAATTTTTTTTTTTCAAGGAAAAAACATTTAAATATGAGAGGACCATTCTTACACAGTTTTGTGCAATAAAAAGCTGTAGTTATGTAGGCTATTTATTTGTTGAATATCTGTTAGCATAGCAACAACCCACAACAGAATCATGGTGGTATTTTGCACAAGCTACGATTTCTTCAGAAAATTAAAAAAAAAAATCAAGTTTGCCCTCTTGCTCTTCAAAGAGCTGTGATATAAATACACCCTATGCCGAGAACGTGACTACAGTTACACAAGATATCAAACAGACAACCTACTTAGCTAGCTCACTTCTGATATTTTGTGCATGCTGACCTTTCCCTGGCAGTTTTTGGCTGTTCTCCTGTGTACAGGCCAGTCTGGGAAAGGTTACACACTCATGGTTATGCCTGACAGCTACAGTGGCTGTTCCCTTGCACCCCGAGGGTGAACTTAGGGAAGCTTTTTCTCCCAAAGGGCAGAAGTCCTTGTGGAGCAGCAGCCGTGGAAGTCCTGGACTGGAGGCCCTTTCCCTTCTGGACAAGACCGTTCATGTGAACAGCTGCATATGGTCCACGCATGCGCAACAACTGGCTGTGTGCACGGAGGACATGCCACAGAGTTGGCTTCAGATCAAGAAAACCAGCCACGGTTTCAGTCTGGCAGGTTGTATAAGCAGTTATTTTAAGGTGTGGCAAACTGAAATGAAAGTAAAATATTGTGAGCAAGTCGTAAAACTGAACCATTCAGATCTAATCTGATGTTCCCAAGTGGACCCATTAGTCAAAAATGGACTGAAATCTCCTGGAGGCTGAGCGATTTATTTTTTATTATAATTTTGGCTTCAAACAATTATAAAAACACAATAATAGAGATAAAACGATTCCTTAAAGCGGTACACTTTTGGCACTCCTTAATATACAAATCACTCAAATCATGTGACATGACTGTCGTTAAATGCAGTGTATTGTGTGACGTGCTTGATGATAAAAAGAGTTATTAATCTCAAGAGGCTTTCTGTGATGGAGCTAAATCGGCTAAATATGCAGACAAGCGAAGTATAAGGTTTCGGATAAGTGCCTAAACGGTCAAATACTAACGAAAATAAGGCGAGTATTGTCATAAACACAGGCAGTAATGTCTCAAGTGAACATAAACAGTTAGGAAAGAAATCGGATGTGTGTCAGTATATTGGATCAGTGCATTTGGTCTTAAAGTGACAGCAGCCTACTATATCTGCTGCCGTCTGTGTCATTAATGTTAATCAGAGAACATTACAAACTTTGATGTGAACACATATGTGAATATGATTGAATATAATATTATAACTATAAAAACTGGATATTTTACATTTATTTCAATTAGTATGACAGTATCAGACTCATTCATTATGTAATTTGCAATGCTTAATGGGAGTGGACGGACACTGCTGAACTTGTTCTTCAGCTTTCTATATAAGTATATGTCCACTGAACAATCCTGTGTGCTCTATTACTCTGACCTGGATGTTACTCCATCATCTATATTCAAACATGAAATATTAACCACACCCCTCTTTAATTCCAGATGTAATTTTCTTCCTTCCTTCTCACCACCTCTTGAAGTTGCTTCTACAGTTTCATGCTGTTTCTATCGGAGCCAAAACTGTGAATGGCGTGTAAACGTCAAACGTGTAACTTCAAGAGTAGCAAATGTTGCTTTTAGATTATTTGTAACAGAAAAGGCAAACAATCAGGCTAAAATACCTTCTCATTTACCGTCAATATTCAGCAAATGCGCATCTACACCATTTAAACAAATCTCTGAATGTCTAATAAACATTTAATTTCACAAACTTTGCAAATTCACTGCAAAAAATTATTTTCTTACTTAGAATTTTATCTTCGTTTTCAGTCCAAATATCAAATATTTCTTAAATCAAGATCCATTTACTTAAGTATTAAAATGACATGAGATATTAAGTCTTGTTTTCTGGGGAAATAAATAAAAATTAAGTGTTGATGCTTAAAAAAAGCAAAATTCTCTGCCAATGGGGTAAGAAAAATAATGTTGTTTCTGTTTTAATTAAGATAATTTAACTTTTTTTAAGCATCAACTCACTTCATTTTGATTAATTCCCCTGGAAAACAAGACATAATATCTTTTGTCATTTTACTCATCTAGCAAATGCATCTTGATTTAAGAATTTTTAGATATTTGGTCAGGAAAAAAGACAAAAATACCAAGTAAGAAAAGCATTTTTTCCAGCGTTTAATCAAATCCAGCTGTGATATCTTGTGAAGTGTGCATTTGTAGCCGGCATAAACGTGTTATTGCGAGTGACGGTCGGTCCATGCGAAGTGAGTAAATGCAAACAGAAGATCAGCTTCACAGGAGACGCCATCGAAAAACTTTAAATCCTTCATTTTAAAATATGCTGTGCTTTATCCAGTTGCCCACTGTCTCATATTCATATCGTTTTCACTGTGTGCTGTATGTAAAATTAGCGTTATCTTGTCTTTATTTTAAAAAATATGATTACCAGTGCGCACGAAATTACCAGATTACTGAGTGCCGTTACAGTGTTTACTTCCTTTTTATTCACATATTCATATATTTTTAAACAATTACTTTATTTGTGAAAAATACTGTAATATGATTGCAGATTCAAGAGGTTGACATATAAAGTATAAGCATGTTTATTTTAAAGATTGGTTTTCTAATTTATTAAATATTGATTTAAATAAATATAATATATATATATATATATATTAGTGCTGTCAAACGATTAAAATATTTAATCACGATTAATCACATTAATGTCATAGTTAACTCGCGATTAATCGCACATTTGTATCTGTTCTAAAATGTCTTTGATTTCTTTTTTTCCCATTATTTTTTTCTCATTTTAATTCTCTTATGAACATGGGAAAGTGGATCGGCTTGCTTTGTGCAAATGTTTTTTTATTGAAAACAACATTGGCAAATACTGTGTTCAAACACTAACACTCTCACTTGGAGCAAATAATCTTTCACACAATGTAACACTGTCCATCAATAAAAGGGTGAAAGAAATACTGACGAGGTCCTGATATTGACGAGGGGGCGGAGAATTCGCATCAGCTGTGTGTGTGTGTGTGTGTGTGCTTGGCCATCATCAAGTGGTGTTTCAGACTGGACGTGCTGCGATGATGATAGCTCATTCACAACGACAAAACACACAGATCACTTTGGTCTCGTCAATGGGACCATTTGGCAACTTTTTAAAAGTAAACTTTCCATTCAGAATCTTATTGGCATCCATTTCGGCGTCTCGCGCTCGTCATCCACTCAAAACGTAACGTTAACCAACTATTTGGCCGGCGCGCAAGCTCAAACAAGTGTGTGCGGCGTGCCTGTTGTTTTGTTACCGGTCTAGCTAGATCCGCTTGCGCTTTGGTCGACGAATCAACAAAACGTCCTCGCGCGGCGCAAGCCATTGAAATGAATGGGTTTCATAGCGCCGCGTCCTGTTGCAAAAGCATGTGAAAAAAACTACAAAGTTTGCTAGGCCAAAAAGACCGTTAATCGCGCGATAAAAAAATTAACGCCGTTAAAATGGGTTTGCGTTAACGCCGTTAATAACGCGTTTAACTGACAGCCGGGCAGCCCTAATATATATATATATATATATATATATATAAATGTAGGCTTTATATCGGACATCATGCTCTCTGAGATATCGGCAATCAAAAAAAAACAATATCGGTCGATCACCACTAATCACAAGTTATCATCAGTTAATCATAGCAGAGCTCATGGTCTGACTTAATCAACAGTCCTAAAGGAGAACAGTAGGGAAATCTACTCATTATCAAGAAGACACAGAAAGCAGACTGTAGTGTTGACTGAATAAATAAGGAACAGACAGCTATTTTCCACACGTGATCTATGACCCTGCAATGACCTCTGGAGGATCCTTAAGTAATGAAGCGTCCCTTAAAAGGCTAAATCAACGTGTCGTCAGCCTCAATGGAAAACACGAGATTCCTATTACATCCGCGGTGGGAGGATAAAAGACAAACGCATCCACTCCCGTTCTCTAGCAGCACCAAGGAAAGAAAACACTGATTAAACATAGATGAGAACAACATAACAGACAAAACAGCAGTCAATGACGCTACTCTCAAGGACAGAGAGCATTGGGCCCAGGTGAAAAGTCAAAGACACAAACAACAACTCAGTCAACTCAGGACTCAGTCTACAAAGTAAAACTTGACAAGAATTGACAAGATTCAAAGGTTATGAGACACTTCCTTCTTATCATTTCTAAAAACCGAATAATGAACACTTTGTTTGCATCACGACAGCAGTTGTTTCTCATGATACAGCATCTCGCAACATTACATGGCACTTAAAGTATAATAAATCAACTGTATTAACTTTTAAAACACTGTGAAACTGGTGAATGTGCACGTTTTGTTTTTAATTTTTTGTCCAAGAAATTTGGGGATGCATGCTTGCCCAGAGTTTAACACACTCAAAAAAAAGATTGATAGCATATATGTCTGTTAAGCAGAAATTATTATCATCTTTCTTACACAATGTAAGGGACACTCATATTTACACCCAGCACAAGTCATTTAGTTAATACAGATTTAACCTTTCATTTCTATTTCTAATATATATATATATTTATATGTTTTTTTAATGATCAGACTGATGCCCCACAAATTGCCACAATATTATTACGATTAATTTTAAATTTAGTTTTTGTTTACACTAAATGACTGTTAATTTAGTTTTCTACTTTAAGTTTAATGTTTAGTAAGTTTTTTCAGTATATTACGTTTTTGGGCAGCCAATATTTCAGGGTTAATTCACCCCAAATTTAAAATTATCCCATAATTTACTCACCCTCAAGCCATCCTAGGTGTATATGGCTGTTACCGGAAGCCAGTGAGTTATTAAATATGTATATTTTTCTTACAAAAGGCCTTTATTAACCCCATGGAGCCATATGGATTACTTTTATGATGGATGGATGTGCTTTTTTGGGCTTCAAAATCTGAGGTAACATTACCTCCCATTATAAAAGTTGGAAGAGCCTAGATATTATTTCATATAACTCTTGATTGTGTTCGGCTGAAAGAAGAAAGTCATATACACCTAGGATGGCTTGATGGTGAGTAAATTATGGGATAATTTTCATTTTTGGGTGAGCTAGCCCTTTAATGCATAAACTGATATTATTTAAATACATTTTAAAACATTATATGTATCCTGGCTGTCTAGTGTCATTTTCATGTGAGATATAATATGCGAAACCTTTACAATACTGTGCATGAAAAACTGTAATGAATTCATGGTCTTTTTTATATTTTATACATTTACAGAAAACAAGTTTTGGAGTCATGAAAATATATTTTAACTTAGTTTCAGTTGTCGTTTATGATATTAACACTGTTACAGTAAACATAAGTGCAGATGTATTCACTACACTAATAGTAAGTTAAATACTATATGTCATGTAAGTTACTTTACATTAGAAATCAGCCATGTTCAGTGCAGCCAAATTAAAGTATATGCAACACATTTAATTGTTTTGCAATACAATTACACTAAATATGTTGAATTTTTAAACTTGAGAAATTTACAAATATAATAATCTAAAGTGCTGTAGAATTAATTTAGAAATCTCAATGTCACAACTAACGTTAACGTTACCTCAAATTGAGCAAATCACGCCGGTGACACGATTACAAAAAGGTTAATACAGGTCTAGTAGAAGGTTAGTTGCACAGATATCATTAAAAAATGTTATAATAAATCACAAAACACTGGGTCTTAATGAACTTTATCTACTTTCGCAAGATGAATCCATTTCCTGAGAAAGCAAATGCTTTCAGTTTTGCTTTAGAGGAAAAAAAAACCTCCCCTCAGGATCTTCGCCTCTCGCCCTTAAGGTGTAATTAACACTCTATTCTGCTTATATTCAGATATTACTGACATAAACACTCATATTCTCCCCAGAGAAATAAAGATGTGGATGTACCTGTCGTCTCTCCTCACACACATTCGGCCTACCGACCTGACTGACACCGACTCAACCGTTAACGGCCTGAAGGATGAAACCACCTTCATTTCTCGTTCGCTTTCCCTCGTTTTCCTCTCAATCACGGGTTCACCGGTGTGTAACCCAGACTCGGTTTTGGATCTTTGCTCACCTTGTAGGAGTCAGTGGCTAATAAGATGTTGAAGTCCACGGCGCCTGTGTGCTGCTCCATCTTCCCCTTGACGTGACTGGAGTCGCGCGCTGCTGTCAGTTTCTGTTGTTCCCTCTCAACCAACCGCCGTTGATGAGGAGGGGGAGTGACGCAATCAGAATGGGCGGGACCGAATGGGGTGTACTGGCCAATCAGTGGATGAGGAGAGCGAGACGTCATTGCAGGGGGTGAGGCGTGGTTTAAAAAAAAAATTCAACTTTCATAAAAGCTTACAAATACAATGACATTTAACATCAATCATAAGCCAAACAGATATTGGGGAAAACATATAACAGATCTTACATTGTACAGAGTAAAACATTAAATTCTACAAATTATTTTTTTTTTCAATATAAGAGATGTTTGAAGAGAGTACTTCTGTACACACTGTACTTCTTTTTATTATTAACATTTTGCAAGTAACAGCAATTAACATTCATTCCATTAACATAAATCCTACTGACATTTGAAATTAACAATGAGTAGAACAATTGACTATGTACGAGGGACATATTGACATTTAAATAGATAATACATACAATTATTAAATAAATAGAAGAATAAAAAATAAATAAATATATATATTATAAGAAAGGCAAAGAAATAAATTTGCATTATTTTCGTTTTGGCTCAAGTGGGGGGGGGATAGAAATAGCTCATTTAAACATGTTATCTCTGTTCATTTAATATCTGGGATGTTTTAATTGCTTTTTTGTTTCTTATAAATTTACATAGGGAATCTTGAGGCGTGGTATACCGGAAAGTGAATGGATGAATCAGAAAGAGAATTTTTTTTAAAACAATTGATTTTTTATTAGAAAGCCCTTAACTTTATGTTTTGCTTTACCATGATTGTCCTACAATATAATTTTACATTATATAATTATCAATAGACATTGTTATTTCATTGTTAAAGTATATGTAACCCCTTTATTTTACTTTTTATTTACAAGTGATGCCATAAAATTATTTGTTTTGTATAATGGCCAGAGGCGTCATTAAATAGTTCGATTTCTAATTTAGGTTAAAACGGCCTCAGAGAGAAATTAGTAAAGTCTACTGTTTTGTGGTAGTGTTTTTTTTTTTAAACAAACATAAAGTAATATATTTAGTAGACTCTGTCCTGTTGTGTAACAGAAAGGAATTGCATATTATATGAAGTGTTATGTAATGATTGTGTTAATTATAGAAAGCCCTTAACTTTATGTTTTACTTTATAATTTACTGTGATTGCCCTACAATATAATTTTACATTATAAAATGATCAATTGACATTTATTTCATTGATAAAGTTTATTTAACCCCTTTATTTTACTATGGTGCCATAAAATTACATTTTGATGAAAAAAAAGATGTATATTATGGAAGTATTCGTCATCGATTGTATTTGCACAAATCTGTATTGGTGTTTTAATTTTTTTTTTTTTTTTCAAGAGACTACCAGTGGACATAATGTTTAATTTAATTCTTTGATGTTGATGTTGACCCTTGAATCTCTATGCAATTTAGTTTGAGACATGTCAGTGGGATGGTTTTGGTTTATTGTTTTCAATAAATATATCTATGAAGCTATAAAGATTATAATATAATTATAAAGCTATACAAAAGTTATTTTTAGCCAATATTTTAGTTCAATTTTATCTAGTCAATAAAATGATTGGCATGTTCTGACCAATCTCTGGACAGCTGATAATGACGTCAAGACAGGGCCCACCACCTCAAACTCAGCCAATCACAGGACTGTTGTAGCCGCTCTCTGATTGGCCGGGCGAAAGGCTGTGTACATGACGTCAGCTCTACGGATCAGTGACTGCAGTTTCATTTATTGGACAGAGGGTGAGGTGTCATTAAATAGTAAGATTTCTAATCTAGGTTAAATACCCATTGGCCTCAGAAATAAATGAGTAAAGTCTACTGTTTTTTGTTAGTTCTTTATTTTTTAAACAAACATAAAAAGTAAAATAGTATTAGTAGACTCTGTCCTGTTGTGTAACAGCAAGGAGGTGTTATATAGGCCTAATGATTGTAAAATCTTACATATATGGCTAAATGGTTGCTGAACCAACCAACCAACCAACTCGAAGTTTCTTTCCATATATTCACACTCTCATTCCATAAATTCAAGTTTCATTCCATATATTCAGTTTCTTTCCATATATTCAGTTGTATTCCATATATTCAAGTTTCATTCCATATATTCAGTTTCATTCCATATATTCGAGTTTTATTCCATATATTCGAGTTTCATATATATTCAGTTTCATTCCATATTCAGCGTTCCATTCATATATTCAAGTTTCATTCCATATATTCAGTTTCATTCCATATATTCAAGTTTTCTTCCATATATTCAGTTTTATTCCATATATTCAGAGTTCCATTCCATATATTCACACTCTCATATATTCAAGTCTCATTCTATATATCCAGACTTTCATTCCATATACTCAAACCTCATATAATAAATACCAGAGCCGGACAGTAACGGAGTACATTTACTTGAGTACAGTACTTAAGTACAATTTTGAGGGATCTGTACTTTACTCGAGTATCATTTTTGGGGAGTACTCATGACTTTACTCAAGTACATTTGAGAGGCAAATATTGTACTCTTTACTCCAATACATTTCTATCCATAACCGTGAGTACCCGAGTAAAAAAAAAAAGTAAAAAAAAAGAAAAATCTCGGAAACCCTCAATTTGTTGTTTCCCTCTCAAACGTGATTGGATTGTGCAGGCGCCACTGATTGGGACAGCCTATCAGCAATCACTTTCAGCTTTCCGCCAAAGTCAACTCCATGGTCAGATTTTATATTACACATTAATGTAAGCCAAGCATTTGGTTTGATGTTCTTGAGCATGTGGTGTGTTTAACACAGTCAGGTTCAAATGTGGCAGTGGCGTAGCCACGAGGGATTTCTGATTTCTTAAAAAAAAAACTTTAGGAGGCAAAATATATTTTTACTGATTATGTGAATTACACTGCGCAAACCAAAGTAGGCTACTACCCAGCGAATGAAGAAGGGTTGGCGCTCAGTCTCCACAGTACATAAAATATTAATTTTGTTTTATTTTATTTTTCGGGTTTGCATTTATGAGGAAAAAACAATGTTATGGACGTGTTCTCCGTTACGGACGTTAGCGCTCTGAAAGCGGCATAAAAAATGCTTTAAAACTTTCACAGAGACATCAAACAGAAAACACAAAACCTTTCTTTAACCTGAATTTCGTTTTGCATTAATTGTATCTTAATTTTAATCAATGTTTCATCAACCAATTGCCTGGGTTTAATAAATAAGAAGTAAATAGCAGACGATAGATAAGAAACGGAGGCGCCGGCACGTGAACTGGATCTCGTCTCATAAATGAACCGAAACTCAGTGTATAAGGTCGCCTACTTGCCTCTCACAGACATGTCTACTTTTAAACAGAAAAAATCAAAACGAAAGAAAACAGACTACAGACTGCTCTCTGCTTATGTAATCTGTATGAAATGTGCATTTCTCTCTGGCGCGTTCACTACTGAAGATCGCGAGTCAGCATCGTCAACTTCATCTAGCCGACACTGACAAAGAAAACACTTGTTTATTAACAAGTGTTTATTAATAAACAATTAAAATATCTCCTTGCTATATTTTACATATTCATAATCATTCCTTTTGCCGGTTCTTTGTGACAGCTTTTAGGTGCTTTATTGGCAGCGCCACCCTTACATGTGGTGTGTGTGTGTGTGTGTGTTGTCCCCGCATTTAAAGATGGGACCCCTCAAAAATTTAATTTAATTAAATTAAGCAACATGGTAAAAAGATGAAAATGACTTGATTTTACTTTCAATTCCTTTTACATTCTCCAAGGTATTAACATTAACATTTTTCATAACTCCATGTAGGACGTTTCTGTGCATAAATGTAAGCACTGTGGCAGTAGATTAGTAATGCAATATTTAGAAAATCTACTCTTGTACTCTTGGTACTCAAGTACATTTAAAAACAAGTACTTTAGTACTTTTACTTAAGTAGACATCTGAATGTAGTACTTTTACTTGTACTTGAGTAAAATTTAGCAAGGGGTATCTGTACTTTTACTCAAGTAACAAAGCTCTGTACTCTGTCCGCCTCTGATAAATACAATAATTTCCTGAACGGCATGATAATAATACACAGTAGCCTATATGCCATGTATATGTGTGCCTGTCTAGTAACACACCACTAGAGGACACCCTTGCACAAATAAAGTACTCAAATGTTGCCATACTGTGCAAATAAAATGTCTCTAACATTGACAAAATGTTAATTGTTGACAGGTAAACAACTAAATAAAAACAAAATATAAATAGTCTAATAAAATAGTGCTTCGATAAGTGATTGAACTGGAAACCACCTGATTTAAAAATGCCTTAAAACAACTTTTATATTTTAAATCTTCATCGTTATGCAATCTAAAACCCTTATTGTCTATGCAAAAACAGATTTGCATGGCATATTATAAAAATAACAGCCTACAACATGTTATGCATGTGTAAAGTTGAGAGTGAGCCGAAGTGTGTGTGTCAGGCCAATGGGAGCAGCATCTGAATGCGTGTGATCGTGAGAGGAGGGGGAACGCGCTTCTGTGACTGACTGACTGACGCTTTTATTATTTTGCACTAATAACTGCTGGAATAAGAGCGGTTATACTTGTATGTGGCCTGTATTGAGTTTCACTTCTGCATCCATGTATAAGTATTCACTCGACCGCTTTCAGGGTCTTTGGCTCTGCGTTTGCTGAACGGTGAGTTTTATTATTTTTCCGCTTTTTTTACGGCAACCTTCCGGCAAAACCGTTACTTCTGAGCTGTCAGTGTTCTAACTAGTTTGTCTTGTTATTTTGTGTAACAATGACATTCCACCATAGATAAATTACTTGTGTTTTTACTCTAAATATCATACTTGTTAGACGAGTGTCATTAAAGAAACTTCCGCGTTTGCTGTGTGTTTCTACAACATGGACATTTTTAAAGTTTCCTCTCGCAAACTGGTCGATGTATGAAACTAATGATCGATTGCAGTGACATTCGGTTTGCGTTATTTGCTTACTTTTCTGCTTTGTCAACATTTGTTGTTTGAAGGGCTTAGCACATTTGTGCTTCCTGCTTTGGTGACTTCCTTTGCATAAAGTGAACGTTAAGTCGTATCAGATTGTATGTTAGATAATGT